TTGCCGTCGGATGGGTTTATTTCGAGCAACCGTTTGTGCTGACAGACATGAGAATTCCAAGCTTTAAAGCAGTGCAAAGTGGAGAAGGTGAACTAGCCAACGCCATGAAATCAGGCATGACTAAGCATTTGTAGTCAGACAAAAATAAGCTTGACATATGTAATAAGCGAAGTAAGCGACTCACACACATACTCGAATAAAAACAACGTTGAGGTAGGACGTAAGCAAATAATTAGCATGGTGGAAAGACGTGTGAGTAACCCGAGAAAAATAGGTTAGTTAATTTGTTTAGAGGCTGGGACAAACCGTGTTGGCTCAAAATAAAAGTAAACACATTCTAGTTCTTTAAGGAAACATCTATTGTCTTCATACATCAGTACACCTAATAAGATGTCTTTTGTTATGCCCTATATGCCGACCAGCATTTATCAACGACCTTTGAGTATCGAATGCACAACAAGGAGGACGATTTGGCCCAATTCTAACTAGCCCTGAGAACAGAGCAAGAACATATGTTCAACGATCACCAGTCCAAGATTATATATATATATATATATATATATATATATATATATATTCACAAAGACCTACAACACTAATGATGGAAAAACGGGGTAACGGGTACACAAATAACCGATCCTAGTCTATGAATGGAAAATCATGTAGCTTTAACTTACGGTTCAAATGAAAGCTAGGAACTCGAGTAATCCGAAAATAATAAGGATGAAATAATAAATATGAAATCATTACGTACAAATAAACCCTTAGAAACGTAATTGCGAAGGTTTGTTGCCTCCGAGTTAAATCGTCACTCGTAACGATTTCACTTCTGGACCACGAGAAGCGTGGATCGAGAGCAATCTCAATGGTACAGATACATTCGTTCCCTGATTTCAATTATTTTACGATTTGTCTCTATCACTCATATCATCAGTATTTCGACTTTCGTTTTGCCAGTTACCTTTTAGTTTCCTGATATTATTCTATTCGGATGTACTGATTTCATATTGATTGAGTTTTTCAGTCTTATTATTTTCGGATTACTCTAGTTCCTAGCTTTCATTTGAACCGTAAGTTAATGCTACATGATTTTCCATTCATAAACTAGAATCGGTTATTTGTGTACCCGTTACCCCGTTTTTCCATCATTAGTGTTGTAGTTCTTTGTGTGTATATATATATATATATATATATATATATATATATATATATATATAATCTTGGACTGGTGATCGTTGAACATATGTTCTTGCTCTGTTCTCAGGGCTAGTTAGAATTGGGCCAAATCGTCAAGCACAGAGAAACATCTTCCTCTTTGTTGTGTATTCGTTACTCAAAGGTCGTTTATACGTGCTGGTCAGTTTTAGACCATGATAGTACTCACCATGTACGCAAGGAAAATAAGTGGTGTTTTTTATCAGCACAAACGTCTTTAGTGTCTTTGAGTTTGATAATTAAATGTGGTAATACGTCTTTAATGTAGTCATAGTAATATTACTATGACTACATTAAAGACGTATTACCACATTTAATTATCAAACTCAAAGACACTAAAGACGTTTGTGCTGATAAAAAACACCACTTATTTTCCTTGCGTACATGGTGAGTACTATCATGGTCTAAAACTGACCAGCACGTATAAACGACCTTTGAGTAACGAATACACAACAAAGAGGAAGATGTTTCTCTGTGCTTGACGATTTGGCCCAATTCTAACTAGCCCTGAGAACAGAGCAAGAACATATGTTCAACGATCACCAGTCCAAGATTATATATATATATATATATATATATATATATATATATATATATATATACACACAAAGAACTACAACACTAATGATGGAAAAACGGGGTAACGGGTACACAAATAACCGATTCTAGTTTATGAATGGAAAATCATGTAGCTTTAACTTACGGTTCAAATGAAAGCTAGGAACTAGAGTAATCCGAAAATAATAAGACTGAAAAACTCAATCAATATGAAATCAGTACATCCGAATAGAATAATATCAGGAAACTAAAAGGTAACTGGCAAAACGAAAGTCGAAATACTGATGATATGAGTGATAGAGACAAATCGTAAAATAATTGAAATCAGGGAACGAATGTATCTGTACCATTGAGATTGCTCTCGATCCACGCTTCTCGTGGTCCAGAAGTGAAATCGTTACGAGTGACGATTTAACTCGGAGGCAACAAACCTTCGCAATTACGTTTCTAAGGGTTTATTTGTACGTAATGATTTCATATTTATTATTTCATCCTTATTATTTTCGGATTACTCGAGTTCCTAGCTTTCATTTGAACCGTAAGTTAATGCTACATGATTTTCCATTCATAAACTAGAATCGGTTATTTGTGTACCCGTTACCCCGTTTTTCCATCATTAGTGTTGTAGTTCTTTGTGAATATATATATATATATATATATATATATATATAATCTTGGACTGGTGATCGTTGAACATATGTTCTTGCTCTGTTCTCAGGGCTAGTTAGAATTGGGCCAAATCGTCCTCCTTGTTGTGCATTCGATACTCAAAGGTCGTTGATAAATGCTGGTCGGCATATAGGGCATAACAAAAGACATCTTATTAGGTGTACTGATGTATGAAGACAATAGATGTTTCCTTAAAGAACTAGAATGTGTTTACTTTTATTTTGAGCCAACACGGTTTGTCCCAGCCTCTAAACAAATTAACTAACCTATTTTTCTCGGGTTACTCACACGTCTTTCCACCATGCTAATTATTTGCTTACGTCCTACCTCAACGTTGTTTTTATTCGAGTATGTGTGTGAGTCGCTTACTTCGCTTATTACATATGTCAAGCTTATTTTTGTCTGACTACAAATGCTTAGTCATGCCTGATTTCATGGCGTTGGCTAGTTCACCTTCTCCACTTTGCACTGCTTTAAAGCTTGGAATTCTCATGTCTGTCAGCACAAACGGTTGCTCGAAATAAACCCATCCGACGGCAACCGCAGTTGGTTTCTCATTACCGCCGTCGCACAAAGGGGGTCCGCCTAAACATGATGTACGGGAGCAGAAAGGAATATTTATTTCATCGTATACTCGATCATTCATAAATATTAGAGGCATAATGGAATATTAAAATGGTAAGCCCTACTTCGAATTCAACGTAGCACATTAAAAGCCAGCATCTGCAGTGATACTGCCTTTCAGCCAAAAAAGGAAGAGATTGAAAAATTTTGCGTTTATGAATGTCGCACCTTGCCTGACCTTCCAACATTTCTATCTCAGAAAGCAATTCCGGGGGCAATAGATTAAAAAATTGACAGAAAAAAGGGTTTGTATGAACGGCTGCAGGTAACTGTTCCTTAGGGTCGGCGATCACGCTTCTACATCGGTATGACCACAACAAATCCATTTTCTCATTCAGGTTCCTCAGGAAGATATATCCTTTAACAGTATGGACACATCTGGGAAGTGAAAACTGCCTTTATACCTATGAAAGCACTAGAGATTCTCTTATTAACAATCAAACCATTTTGTCACTCAATATTCCCCTGCAGGACTATTCAATATATCTGAACAGAGATTACTGTTATCATTTCAGTTTCAACCAAAGCCGGTATCTCTGTATACCGCTAAAACGGATCGTTAATCACTTCACTAACCGAAGTTAGGTCACCGTTCTATTCCCTCAACTTTTTGGAACCTTCTAAGTCAGCAATTGTTGGAGATCGAAATAGGTGGGAGGATATCATCTGTAACATATTAGTTCACCACCTATATCGGTAAAATCTTACTAGCTCTACTAATAATCCTATGCACAGCCTCAGCATTTCTTACTAGTTAGTCCAGGCGTACGCGAGAAATGCTTCGAACGACAACCTATCCGTGTTTTCTAGTTTCATAGGTTACTTCAAATATAAAACGTAACAAATTGAGTTCCTGCTCAGTACAATCACACTTGGATAAGCAGACAGAAATCAAGCCTGCAGTGAAAGTTGATGAAAGCTGAGCGAACCCTTTATATGTATGCAGAAGTTCCGTCGACTATAGACTTTTCGGAGTTGATAAAACTTCCAAGATGAGTAAAGTTATCGAAGCGATTAACAGCTTCATTCCCTATGATGAGAGTAGGCGTAGACCAATCAGTAAGCGAAATCCTGAACTCGTAAGGAAAGAATTATACCATGAACATCTCTGGATTGTTAACCCAAGTTCAAAAGACTCATAATTTGTCAGCCTCTTCACCAAGCAGAACTGTCATTTGCATACTCCGGGTGCATGTGTTTCCAGATAGGAAATTCCTTACACAACTATCCTACTATTTCGATCGATTAGGCGATGACTAAAGCATAACACGTAAAGTTCTTTTCATGCAGTTGGTTCCCCTTACGAATTAAAAAAAAAACCCAGAACAGCTGAGGCAGAATATTATGAATTTATTTTATTTCACGGTTTCTCATCAGCTGCCTACAATCAGAAGTAACATAAGAATTTATATTATTCTGCATCATTTGGTGTTCTGGCTTTATTCATGAAATTCATTAATATGGATAATGTCATAATTTACATGATCTTCGGACAAATTTAAGATAATGTACTGATATACCTTTAATAGATTTGCACAATGACAAATTAAGTCTTTTTGACTATAAATATGGCAAACGGATAAACTTTGTGATTGTAAAAACACAATACACTTTGTATCCTGAGATGCTAAACCATCTATTGTAATGTTTGACATTATTAACCGAAATTTTGTGCACTTTATAAACTAAAATTAAGAAAGTAAGTGAAAACTCCAATAACTGAAATCAGTGCTTTAAAGTTCTATTCAAGATGTTTCAAGAAAATGATTAGAATTATTAAACATAAATAACATGTAAAACATTCCAAACTCCTAAACAACCGTACAGTCACTTTCAAATATTGATTAAGTCAGTAGTATGAGCAAGTTATTTGGTGTGAATAATATTCACATTACAATATGTGAATTTTGTAATGATATTTATGTCTTTAGTGATTATATTGTGATAAAATATGATCCAAGTAGTATCGCGTTAAGGAGAAAGTTTGAAATAATCACATCTGACTCACAAGTAAGAGAATTGAAAATCCATGTACATCCAACATATGTTAAACGAATGCCAATTGTGTGAGCTATGATCCAACTATAAACAAAATAACAGAAATTTACATGAACGTTCAACAAAATTTGAATGGATAGATAGACGTTATATGTGGAAATAATAATCTCCGATCACTAGTTCGATATTCTGGAACTTTTTCTCCCATACTTACATGCATATTTTTACGACATTATTAACTTTATTGAAAGCTTTGCAACATCATGATACACATATCTATTTAAATTAAGGAAACAAAATTTCATTAATTTTGAAAATCTTAACTGCATAACAAGCATGCAAACAAAGAACAAGATCACATGTGAAAAATGAAGTATTAATTTGTTGTATTGGCGGTTCTAACAGACAATTTGGGCCTCATAGTGTATATACAATGATTTTGTGATATCTTACATAGTTTCTTCGCACATTATTCTGTCATTTTAAGACAGCGATTCAGAAATGGCTCATTATTTCAAGTTGTTAGTGGATTAAAAAATGGTCTGAAAACTAATTAGTGGTTTATGGCTTTGTTCATTACCTATTAAATAACAGTTTTATTGTACATTTAAATCATAATTTTCAATAACTCAGTGCATTTGAAGAGAAAATTCAATATTTTACCAATCATTCTGGTCTACACCTCTTCAATAAATAATTAAAATAAAGAACAGAAAAAGCAGAAATTTTATTTAACTGTCTGTCATCTGTTCAGTTAAACTGAAACAGTCAAATGTAATCAGAAGTGAAAAGTTTTGAACTTTTTTATTCTATTTTATATTTCATTGACAGCGGAAATCAAAATATGCTACCTAGGGGAGTTGGTAAACCCTGATTTCAAACCAATGGATCAGATGAATTCCAGCATCCTGAGGAAAGGAATGACGGAAGACCCTACTATTGGTTACCGTGAGACTGCAACTCATGGCGTTGCCCCACTGCCTTGTGGACTAGGCCTCTTGGTCAGAAGCTACGGGCGGGTGGCCCACTAAGAAAACCACTTGCTTCAGTTTGGACATCCACGTAGTATCATAAACACAAGCGAAACGATGACAATAACTGGGAAAATTTATGTTTGCTTCATCCCTCATTACCAGAAATGGAACTTAAAATTATTTGACATTCGTTTTTATTGTTTATTCTTGTATTCCTATCTAGGGTATTCCTTATCTTTTAACTCACACAGCAGCTCGCCCATGGTGAAAATTTCGCCCAATCTAAACGATCTCAAGTCACCGACTGGTCCAAATTCGAAAAATACTACTGAATACAAATTCTGAATCAACCTTTCTGAAACTACGCACACCATTCAAACTAGCCTAAAGCAGATCGAATAACACTTAAGGTTAGCTAAGTCTTTCGAAAGTCTTAACACGGGTGTCTGCTGTCCATCCGATAGTGACTATACAATCCGTTTAGGTAGCCAATGGGGAACTTGTTGGTCGCAGGTTAAATAACAGTGACCGTCTGCTGCAACGTGCACACAATACCTGTTTTTGGCTAGCGCTGACTATTGGCACAGCCATCGCCGATGTGTTGTTTGGCGTCCTTCCTCTGCATCTGAACATTGGATTCCGATTGGTCACATCGCCATTAGCTCTTCCCTGAGTGGTTGAGTAGAAGGCTGAAGATCCTATTGGAGTACTTATTCGGATTCCAATAATGCTCCTGTTTGTGTTAGTCTCATTTTACGTTTCAGTGTACAAAAAACTCACTGTCCGAAACTGATTCATACCATTGAATTGATTGTAGCTTCTGCTGCAACTAAATATCAAACCATACTATGTTCAAGACTAGCTATCGACTAACCAAAAAGTATAGACAAGCACTGGCTGCAATTACATGACAACATGACAATGGCGAGTAAAGTCGCTTATGGCCTCGCGAATCATCCTGCTTATAAGCAATGAGTTTCTGTGGGCACCTCAAAACTCATTGTCACAAGTTGGTCTGTTCCGAGTAATCGCGAGTTTGACGATAACAGATGATTGTTACGCAATTGAACAGCGCAAATTTTGCGAATGGACCGGTAAAACTGGTGTCTGGAGTGCGCTAGAGAGTTAGAAGTAGCAGCTGCATCGGGTACCTAAAGGAAGCTCTTTCAACTCACCCAGGCCAAAGGCAGCAAGAATTTTGTGGAAAGTAAAACAATCTTTGACGCTGAAGGGGCGCCAACTACCAAAATCCACCGACGTATTGGACGGTCGATAGTTTTTTGAAGAACAGTTCAGCTGGTCTGTTGCCCCAGCTATATCGATCAGAGTATCAAGTCCTCCATGGTCAATGACAACAGGTTCACCTAATGAGGTGGAAGCCCGTAAGGAAACCCGACTCTTAGAGCACTACAAATCACCAGGCTCAGGCGAATTACCTCCGGTCCTTTTTAAACATGGTGGCAACCTTCTGGCTATGAGATTGAGTTGTTCACAATTTTTTGGCAATTAGATAGTGGAATGGGTCGATAGTTGTCACTATTTTTAGAAAAAATGGTTTTCGTCATTTGTGTAACAACTATTAGGGAATAAGTCTAACACCGATTGTGTTCAAAATTATTGGATCCGTCATACTTCGTAGACTGTTCAAAACCCAAGGAAAATTGACTGGCGAGGAGCAGGTTAGTTTTCATTCTGGTTGCCCTCTGACAAATGTTAAAACACCAACACAAACCGCAGGCCAACAAACGTGTTTTTTGATATCAGAAGGTCTTATATACAAGAATTTTAAGCAGAATAAAAGCATACAACCAGATGTCTTTATTAATTCATCCAGGCAGTGGGATTAGGCAGGTTGCCTAAGACTGGCTGCCAGCAAGGAGCAGAGGGATTAGTTTTCGTCTGTCGGACTGACCTGGAGTTGGATGGACTGAGTGTAGCAGGGGCTAAGGGAGCCTGCTGCCCTATTTGACACAATGTCCGTGCATTAAAAGCTCCAACATGTAGTCTAGAACGGGGTTTCAGGAGACCAAGAATAACTTTTCGTGAATTCGCATCGTTTGCATTGGCGGTAAGGAGTGATAAAGGAATGTGAGTTGAGTTAGTCGTGGAGATAAGAGATATTGGGGGAGTAGGAAGGCTTCGTTTGTGACCGATTTGGTCTCACGTGTTGTTACGGGTATGAGGGCGGATGTCACTTTCCGGCTGCCCACACCGTGGAACGGTGTTCTTTGAGGAACCTGAAAAGGAATGTAGACTGGTTTTGGTCTTAACGACCTCGGAGCGTGACCGAAGAGCCCAAGGGACAACTGTTTGAAGCCGGTCATGTACGGCCTTTTTATGAGAGGTTTTTAGAATATTAGCTCGTTCTTGTTTAAGAGCCCTTACCGCCGGAGACGGAGTCCCCTGAGGTAAGGTGAAGTGTGATATTTTTACAGTCGACCTTTTCTAACCCCTTCCTTCCCTGTGAGAAGGCACCATCGCTGCAGATACTGGTTGTCCGACGGAAGCAACTCAAACTGATGTACGTGCGTACTACGTTCCATGCTGTAGGTGTCGGACTTAATGATTAAATGAAAAGATTCTTTATGATTGTACATTCCTCAATTGAATAAGTTCTCCCACTACAATTACTATAATTCCACACTCATGCACTAATTTCTATCCCTGTCTCCACATAAACCTATTTTTGTGGCGTTGTATCAACATTTATCGGTGAAATCAGTAACACTCGTATCTGTTCCTGACAAACATACGAACAAAAATCAGTGTGTAAATATATAGATGATACATTATACTGAGCCATTAGCTTGTGGATTTATTTCTACGCTGTGATGTGAACAAGAAAATCTATTGAGTAACAGCCAATGATCCCAGTAAATTAGTTACGTTGGATAGAAAATAAAACGAAGATAACATGAAAAATACTGAAGTAGGAAGCTCTGATCGCCAAAAGTGGAGAACAGTCAGTCAGTCAGATGCAACGTAGAACTTCTTACGTAAGTACATCAGTTCATGTTGCCATACCACATCAGCACAGAGATGTGATTGTCAATTCAAATCCAATAGTAGAAGAGGTAGTAAAGGTATTGGAAGTAATCGGAGAGGTTAGGATTAGAACATATTATTCAAGAAGTATGATTCAGAAAAAAAGTGGAGAACACGGAACAGATTATGTCCAGTATGTATTAAAAACACTGGGAAAATTCCTGACAATACTGCAACGACGATAGATAAATAATCAAAACTAAAGAAGCAAATTACAAACTTGTGCGATTTCGCCAGTGTGATAACAAGCAATAATTTGTCGAACACGTTCCATCAAATCACGCCTAACAAAACGAGCGATAGCTAGGGGCGGCCAAACCAAAACATGGCAGAAATCCATGAAGTCATTGACAAGTGGACTGAGTCATTTCGGTAGTTGTCGACTACCTGGTTGGGGTCCGCGAGATGATAATAATCGATGGTTAGAGACCTTGAATGACATGGCTCAAAACCGTTTGCAGTGGCGCCGGTGCATTTATTCTTTGTGTTCTCTCAAATCCTAATCTTCTGGATTCTTCAACAACTCTAGTTTTGACTTTCTAAACTTTTCTCACTGAATCATACTTCTTGAATAATATGCTCTAATCCTAACCTCTCCGATTACTTCTAATACCTTTACTACCTCTTCTACTATTGGATTTGAATTGTCAATTATATCTCTGTGCTGATGTGGTATGGCAACATGTACTGATGTACTTACGTACAAAGTTCTACGTTGCATCTGACTGACTGATTAACAAACAATAAGTTGTTCAAAACGGCAACAATCGAGTCAATTCAGTATCGTTTTGTTACTTTACATTAACGTACTGATTCACATAGAATACAGACCTACAATAGGATTTGGTTGGAACGATACATAATGGTTCTACCAACACATCACAACTATCAAACCAAAATCGTGAGCTCTAAGACAATTTTGAGATCAATAACACCAATGCATTCAGAAATAAAAGACTTACACTAAAGGAATAAATATTGTGGGTATATCTGAATTGCGTTTAGGAGTGGTCTTTTTTGGTTTCACAGAACTATCAGGTAGCTTACGGACATCAAAATGAACAGGCCACGGTGAACTAAAAGCATAGAGTGTTAGTTTATTCTGTAACATTTGTTTGAGATTGGAAATTATATTACCATAGTATCCTCATTGGTGTTTTTCTTAGATTCCAAAAATATAGCCATAAATTCCTGGTAAGTCTGATTACAGAATCTTCCGGTCCCTGCAAATGTGTAGTGAATTAATCGCTCTAACCTCTAAGCAGAAGGGCAGAGAGATATATTGTAAGTGTAGTCGCAATGAATCTAGAGAACTCAGAGAAATCATAATTGAATTTAACTATTAATTAATATTTAGGAGATTATAAGTACGCATACAGTGTTTAAGTACCCAGGGACTCCAAAAAAGAACAGTCCACTTCATTACCCCTGCTGTAATGTGAAACATTTTGATAGCAGAGTTTGACGCCGACTCTAAAAAGTTGGGATTATATTCCATTGACTGAAAAATCATGAAAAAGGTAGAAATACTTGATATGTTGTAGTCAATGGGACACTATGAAGAGAAGGACCAAGCACACAGGACCACCAGACATGGATGGTTCGCCACATAATTGTTGTGAATGATGGGTTGGAGTGGTAATCTCTATAATGCATATTCACTGGAATTAGTTGTCTTACCTGAGTGAGAGCAGAACAAATTAATGAAATGTTTGTTCGCAATATGCTAAAATAACAAACAGTTGCATAATTACCCCATTGGAACGTTACACATCAAATAATACGGTGCTATATATACGAAAAACATTGTGGAATCGAAACCAGGATAGAAATAAAACACTTTAACGTTAAGGAAATAGCTACGGCTATAGTAAGGAGGCAACTATAATCGCCTTGCGATATTTATGTATGATTTTCGAAACCAAAACGCGAAAAATTAGCTATGATAGAGGACGATAAAATTAGCTATCTGGATAATGTGCCCGGGTCATTTAAAGGCACTTATTTCCTGAATTGCGATTAATCACCGAAGGAAGACTTATCCCTCGATGGTTGAAAATTCTAAACAAATGAGCTCTACAGAATGCTCTGGCAAAAAACATAAAATCAAATTATAGGTAATTCAAACCTACCAAACTCAGAACAAAGGGTCCTAATATTGAGTGAAACTCCGCAGGTAGACCCTCGATGGCTACTGCCGGTCCCAAGCCCGGATAAAGGAGGAGGGTTGGGATTGGGGTTAAAGACACCATACAACAAGAAACTAACTCACTGAAAAAAAATCCTAGATAGCAAAAATAATTCACACGACTTAAACTCTGCTCTGGGAGTTAGGTCTCCATTTCGTAGAGCAATGACGTCTTACGATAAAATCCTAGTTCCTTCGGAAAGCACGACGACGATAACTCAGAGACCTTCCACGGTATGGGCAGCCGGGAAGTAACATCCGCCCTCATACCCATAAACGCACACGAGACCGAATCGGTCACAATCAAATCCTTTCTACACCCACTAACATCTCTCTTATCTCCTCGACCAACTCTTCCTTAGATCGTTTGTCAACTCGCGTCGCTGAAGCAAACAGTTTGAGATCACGGAACATTATTCCTGGTTTCCTGAAAACCCGTACCAAATTACACATTGGAGCTTTTAATGTTCGAACCTTGTGCCAAATAGGTCACCAGGCTTCATTAACTAGAACCCTGGAACCCCATTCCATCAGTGTATGTTGCGTCTCCGAAACGCGCATACAAGATCCGAGTAAAGTCATCAATTTGATTTCAACTAGTGCAGATACAGAAACGACACGATTTACGCTTTTTTTTTCTTGAAGTCCTAATGTTTCTCCCTGTGGTTTAACTTTAGTATTGAGTCGTCTGGCAGAACTAGCTCTCTTAGACTGGATTCCGGTAGACAGTCGCTTATGCGATGTCCGACTAAACGGGACGGTACGGACTCGTAAAGAAATGGAAATTCGCCGTTGTCTCTTCGTCGTATCTGCCTACGCTCCTACTGACCGCAGCTCAGACGAGGTGAAAGATGAGTTTTACAGAAAGCTTGAGGACCTCCTCCAAAAAATAAAGCGCTCTGATATAATAATTATTGGTTGGCGACTTTAATGCTCAAGTAGGTAGATTAGGTGAAAAGGAAAGACACCTAGGTGGATCTTATAAATGTCGCGGCTAATAGAACGGATAATTGCGACCGTCTGCCGCAGCTGTGCTCAGATAACCGCCTATTCCTGGCAAACACTAACTTTAAGCATAAGGAAAAACATCTTTTGACATGGCGACCCTCAAACTTGTCCCAATAATTGACCCTTTTTTTTCACATCGCCATAAGCCATCGGTGGAGAGGCTCTATTGAGGACTGCCGCTTATTCTGGAGCGCCTGTTTGGACTCAGATCATGTTCTAGTGCGAGCGCGTATTTGTTTGCGACTTACTGGACGTAGGAAAACTGTCGCACAGAAACCTCTTAGGGTTCTACTTGATGATAATAAAGCTAAGAATATATCTCAGGAACAACTAGAAAAACAGGCAGACATGTAGTAAGTGATGCCCACCCTGAGGCAGTTTGGAATGCTATCAGAAAATGCTGTGGAAACAGCAGTGATATCTGCTAGTAAGGTTAACCATAAGGCTAGTAAGAAGCTATGGATCCTAGCAACATCCACCGAACTGACAGACGCTTTTAAACTCAACCCAACTATCTCTGAACATGATGAAAAGCGAAGTCAGCTTACGCGCAGGCTGATAAAAAGCCTACCCAATGATCGCGAACAGTGCTGGGTAGTGAAAGCGAGAGAGATGGAAAAGGCAGCGGCGACAGGCAACAGTAGACGACTATTCAGACTCATCAAGAAAACCGGTATTAGGAACCCCAATGTAAGTGACACTATTTCGGCAAACGATGGCCTGATCATTCGTTCTTAATCCAGGAGATTGGACCGATCTCCAGTCATCCTGAATGGCAAGTCGACGTAAGCCCTCCGACTCTATGAAGTTGAGAAAGTGATAGGAAATCTGAAGCAACGGAGAGCAGCGGGTGCTGACAGATTGACCTCTGAGATTTTTAAGGATAGTAGTCCAGTTTTAGCAGCTAGATTGACTGAGATCTTAGGTGGAATTGGGGAACTGGACGTAATCTCATCTGACTCGTCTCAATCAGTGATTGTCACAGTCTATAAAAAAGGACAAAAGTCCTCTTGTGACAATCACAGAGTAACTGTCATGGCGAACTGTCATCGGAATTGGCTACTCCAAGCTGTGTCCGTCAGGGCTGTTCTTTCTCTCCATTCTTGTTTAACTTTGTCGTAGATATGCTTCTAGATATAACATTTTCTTTGTCTGAATCTACAAGAGTGGACCTTCTACTAGGAGACACACTTGCTGACTTAGAGTATGCTGATGGCGAAGTCCTATCCGGTGAAGACGCTGACAAAATGGAGAGTCTCCTTGTGACCCTAAGTGACAATGCAAGCACGTTGCGGATGCGATTCTGCCCATCGAAATGCAAAATGTTGCTTCAGTATTGTCTTTTATTGGCTAGGGGCGGACAAACAAAAACATGGCACAAATCCATGAAGTTACTGACAAGTGGACTGTGTCATGTCGGTAGGTGTCGACTACCTGGTTAGGGTCCGCGAGATGACAGTAATCACTGGTTGAAGACCCTGAATGACATGGCTTTTGCAATGGCGCAGGTGCATCCAATCTTTGTGTTCTATGAAATCCTAAACTTTTGAATTCGTCATCGCTTTATCTTTTTCTTTTATTTCACTAGATTCTACTTCTTGCATAATATCTTCGAACCCTAAAAATTTTTTTTACTGCTAATGCACATACTACCCCTACTACTATGGCGTTTGAATAGAAAATTACATGTCTGTGCTAATGTGGTATGGCAACTTGAACTGATGTACGTATCACGTACGTAGTCATACGTTGCTGTTGATGATTGATAATGATTGCACGATTATACCCAGTGAGTCCGGAGTAGACACCAGTAAGAGTAAATGAAATCACATGTTTAATAACCAGCAAGTTATGCCGTTTTATTCAGTCGATAAACAATGATATTACTCTTTTACTCCCACACACCATACGGCTATTGCGTTACCGCTGACAATAAGGGTACTTTTATAATATTCTGGTCCCTGAAGTTACTATGGTCCAGAGAAAAGCTAGTGGATCTATAGCTTAGACACTTTAATGAATAATTAACAATTAAATATCGAAAATAGTTTACCAAATCACTGCCTCACCCCGTAAACACATCACAATGAAATCTTATCAGATAGTCAGCACTCGATTGGTTACTCGTATTCTTTACCTAACTGTGAGACATTTACTCAAAATTACCCTTCTGAAGCGGGTGAGCTAGAAATCTTTATTTCTTATCTGCCTAGGTTCTGGTAAAAAAGTGAATCTGTCGTGGTTACAGATTTCGGAAAAAGAAATTAGATTTTTTGTAAATAAAGGGCACCGATACGTATCAAGTTAATCCTCTTTTACTTTTGAACCGTATAAATATTATACTGTTTTTTTAATATAGCTCAACGCGCAACCACAATCTTTAACGTTAAGACGCAATTATTTCACTGGGTAAAAGGACTATCGAGGTCAGCGAGTCTATGAACCAAATAAAATACTTTCACAGTGTTCAAAAGTTGTTGAACACATACCTAACAACTAAAATAACAAAAACAAACTAGGCGAGAAATATGACTCTTGGCGGTCAGCCTACACAATAACTCTGTCAAAAACAGAAGTCGTGATTCAGCGCACAGTAGCGCAGGACATAGGGCATGCGCCTAAAATCTTTCAATAACCAATTAAAAAAAGACGAATTCCTCAGTAATTTATTCACTCGGTCACTGGAACTGAAGCAATACTTTTAGATTGTTTCTCAATGAAGACATGGATTATCTTCCAAAGTGTTTAATGATTCGTTTGATTGTTCGTACTCAGGTACCTGTCACAGATAAAAAAAAACGGAATCCCACTCTTGAATAATTACACCACGTCGTAACTCACCGTTAATTCTAAGTCTCTTTGTTCCTATCCGCATGATATATTACATAACCTAATGTAATGAGTAACAGAACAAGTGGCTGTAGGAAGAAAGTTAAACAGTATTAGTGAGTATAATAAAATAACGAGCTTCAGATAGGTTTTCGACATAATTTTAAAAACTGATGATAGGAATTTTCAATAGATACAAGGGAAAATCAATAAATTTGATCGATACCCCCACTAAACCGCTGACAGATTCATTATCGTTGATCACAATACCTCGAAAGAAGAACTATAATATTTTAATGGTGTTTACCCGGCAATTAGTTTTACAGATGATGACGAGTGTGACAAAAAAACATAACGTCCTTGACATCTTACTAAGCTGAAGCATGTTTAGAGAGGGCTTCTTAGCTTGCCCATATACACACTCCTACAGATTTATACCTGTAAGTAACCTACGAAATCTGTTAGAATTCCTCACAAGCACAACGAAGATAATATGCTAAGTAGATGTCATGGAGAAAGAGGTTGAGGTTAAAGCGCTTGATGACGGATATCGGCCCCCAAAGTTTTTTAAGCAGTGCTTAATACATCCAAATTCTACACTGATTTTTTCAACAAGAAATAGCAATCAACACTCGTAACTAAGTCAGCATGCTTGAAAATCGGGGCTACCTGTTTCATAATGCTAAATTCTGCAAATAAGTTACTTCATTATGAATGTTATAAATTGGCAATTATGTCAACTAAGCGGATTATAAAATTGTGTACTGACACTAAAAGTTCAAAAGTTATCGTTTCACAACCTTGCTAATTGTGGTGGCTGGAAATTAGCAATAAAGAAAAGTTGATTGATTAGATATCGGTTTCTGTAACGTTTACTGCGAATAGCCGATTACTAATTGTTTTGTTAAGGAAACTTGCTGAAATAATCCATGCTGAGAATTCCATATTACGCTAAGCAAATAACATTAAAGGAAGAGACAAGAACATCATTAGCAAGTTTAATATTTTGTTTCGTGTCCTAACAATTCTTTTTTGAGTTGCGAGCGGCTGATTCGAATTTGATAGAGTCACATGACAAAGTTTACAGCAAGCCATCAGGTTTCTGTTTCATAGAGAATGAGTGAAATGGGTAATAACCGGAACTGAAGTCTTGGGCAACTATGTTCAGCGAATAAACTCGGACTCTAATTAAAGTAATAATATTCACGAAACAGTTGATAGTCAAATACGTTGAGATTTTCCGTAAGCAATGCAATTGTTTGTGGGGAAATCAGTCGAGGATATTGACGATTCAGTATAAGCCTCCACCGTTGAAACTGAAATTCGTCGACCATGTGGCTAACGATGTTTGGCATGATAGATTAGCGAAGGCAGTTAGTACGAAGGATCTTGAGTTAACATTTTCTAGACGACCGTTGGTGCTATCACACAAAAAATTGATCAGCAGGACATATTTTTGGAACTGAATTGAAAGTGAAACCACATGACTAAGTAAACTTCAACTTATAATGGCTCTGGATATGGAAGTCTAGTCAAGGTTGTGAGGTGACTTAAGTTTAAAAGAAAGAGCATAACCAAACATTACTATTTCTATCTGAATTTTCATCAGGTTTTATTCTAACGAGCATAAGTATTCCTTTGAACCTGCTGAACCGATTATGCCCATTTATCAGGCAAAGGTTACAGTGAAATATAATAACCTAACCGTATTACAACACTCCGTTGGTCGGATATAACTTAGCAGATTATTTCATTTTATTATTATTGCCGCATCCTGTATTGTTTGTCTATTTTCCTCTTTAATTTATATTCTTCACCATCTAATTACTTACACTCCTTTTAGAACATAATTTAATAAATGTCTTGCTTTTGTTATTTTAAGCCTATTTGTTCGAATTCGACACACCACTTCCGATAATGGAGTAATAATAATGAGTTGTTCTCAAATAACAACATGTTACAAGAGTCATTTCAGTTTACAGACAAGATCAAAATGTTAAAATTGCTAACATATATGCTGTAAACGTTGTTCAAGTACTTACATATTTCACGACATACGTTAACTTTATACAGATCGCTGCAATTCTCTACAGACTCTGAAATGTACCATGCGATAGTTGGTATAAGTTACGACGATCAGTTAATGGCTGAGAACCGAAGCATGCTAAATCCAAGTTTACTTATTGATGAGGTAAATGTGCAAAGATCTTCTTGTTGACATTCGCCATATAATAAATCTACAGGCTCCTGGGAAAAGTAACCAAGTTTTTGACAGTTATCCAGATCAATATTTGAGAAGTATGATGAGCTTCTTGAAAAAAGAAATTAAGAAATGTGGAGAGGAGCGGAACAAGAATATCTGAGATTAGTAAATCGGTAGAATTGCGAGTAGCCACTTCGCGGATCACAATGATTACCCGACTGTCATGAGTACTGGTCAGACACACTACCCATCTTTTTGTGATGTTAGGCTGTCTTACGTTTAATGGTGGATTTTCGACAATGTTTTCTAGTCTGAGCTACTGAGCGAGGCCTATTTATTCTATTGTTGAGTTGTATAATCTAGCCCAATGTATTTATATACCAAAGGCCAGTAATCTTGTTGCAAAGATTTTTTATTCATATCTCCACTAGCACAGTGGAGAGTAGAGCTGATGGTTAAAACAGAAGTACCTTTCAACATTCTGTGCCTCTAAATGAAATACAGCGCCTATATAAAGTAAGGCGATCAATATCCTTTTTGGATTTAATATCTTAATTTTACCTGATGTATTTGGCTGCCTTGTTGCTCCCTTACCTGGGCTGTTACAACAATCTATTATTTTTACCACTAGTGAAACACTGGTCTTCCTATTATCAATTAGGAACTTTACCTTTGTTATATCGTTCTGTAACCTTTTTTATTACTATCACCGACTAATAAATTGTCATAACTGGTGCAGTTGTTGTATGTAATTATGAATAAACATTCGAGCAAGGCCCGATGTCAACCTAAATGAAAATGATATTGCGCGCTTTGTGTATACAGAGCTAATTACCATAATTACGTCTATCATCAGAACTTCGTTATTGAGCGCAAGGATCTCTTCATCTTCAATTGTGGGTATCTGAGTTTAGATGCCCTATCATAGATTCTCGCCTCCGACTAACTTGCCGAGCCTTATTGTTAAATAATATGTACTAGAATATATACTGGTAGTAAATTTCTGATGACAGATTCTAGTGAAGTTAAATGCGGATTTGACCTCTTTCAAAATCGTGTTCACGATATTCGATAAGGTTATTGATTCCTTCAGACTAACTACTGAGTTCTGTTCACTGACTGTTTGTTTGGTTTCTGCCTTCTCTCGAACCCATTGACTTCTTCATATGAGTGTCAAAAACTGGAGTCTCAGCATATTGATTAGGTATAAGAGCTCAGCTAAGGGTACTGGCGACTAAATTTATTGTGTACTCCAAGTCTGATGTTGGGCCTACTGTGCGGATATCGCTCGGTCACTTCCATATTACAGTGAACGCTTCCAAGAATTCATAAAGGAAAATCGCATTAGTAGGGAGGCATACTCTACAAATCTATGATAAGGTGGGTTTGAAGCAAACTCTAGAGTGCTGGGATATTAGTATATACTTGTGTTAAAACCCCCTTTAAATATAGTGAAAGAAATTCTAATTTCCAAATTATCGTCATATATTTGAAGCATGGCGAACCCAAAACATAATATGATCCGAATTCGTAAGTGATCTTAATAAGGTAGGGGTCTGTCAGCGTCAATGTCGAAGTCCTACAAAATCACATATTACAGGGATTTTGATAACTTCAACACCACTAATAACATGCAGTGGATAATACTGTCTGTATGAGGCACTTCCATATGCGTTAGAACTTTCCAAACACTAAAAAGCAACCTGTTTGTAACTGTACTCCTATTTTTGGTACAATAGTACGATGGCAGTATTATTAATGTTGTGTCAACTTATCTAATTTAGCTGCATCCATAATAATTTACCAGATCGTTTGTCAAAACGCCGTCGCAAAATTGTTACGCTCGTCTCTAGGTGTGCTTAAACTATTACTAGTTCACCTTAGTCGGATAACGAGAACAAAACAATGAACCAGCGTCCAGGTAGGCTACTGTGTTCCCTTGAACCAACTGTACCAGCAGGAAGTCTTGATGTTGGATAGAAAATGTATTCTACAAACACCTAGCCAGCACAAAATGAATCCAAGCACTCGAATTACGTTTAATTATACTCTATAGAGACGTCCTTGGGACAGTCACAGAAATAGCACACTGAAATAAGACAGTAACCAATCACAACCAAGGATTTTTCTGGTGGCAAATGTAATCTGGAGGTCAACTGACCGGTCTATGAAATAAATCCAAAATAAAGATTTTTATCAAGCGAGTTCCGGGGATCTAACACGAATGATAGTAAATCTGGTGGCACTCGTGACTCACTGATCTAACCAGTAGCCTGGCATCCCACATTTAACACGTTGTTCTTTTAGAATGCGTAGTAGTATTACTATAATTTGAAAGAAAGAATATGAAGATAAGTTGGTCTGTAAAGACTGATGCATTTGTATTACACAGGAGTTGCCTGTTAGCTCTGTTCTCACAAATGCAGAGTCACAGTTATAGTTAATTTCAAATGCAGGTTGTAATTCAACATAAGAATGATTGAACAGATTGTACTTACAAGTTTTATGATGTGCTAGGTACTATGATTTCATTTTGCGTGCTAGTAAAGTGTACTAATTTATTTATAACTGGTGTTTTGACGATCGAAAGTTAAAAAATTGCTGAAAACTTTTTTTGTATATTTTATTGATAAGAAATCCTTAGGGTTCAATTATATACGTGTTTTAAAATAATTAGGAAGGTAAAAAGAATTATAAGTTCATTAGGACGTACAAACTTCCACAAGTAGTATGTTGATATTTTGCAAAATCCGTTCTCAGCCTACGCATTGAAGACCTCAAATACAGTTTTCGCTCCGAGACGGGATATTATCATTATTTGAATTTATTACACAACCCGAATTGTATGGAAAAAGCTCTCGGTGGTACGAAGGTTATCATTTAGGGTTATACAAATTTTTCGAAGCCTTATATGTAGTAAACCATTTGAAATGTCTATGCAATAATCGAGTCACCACTGAATTCGAGGTGGGAAATCGAAGCAATATCTCGTAGGGGAAATTTCTTAGTTGTAGGAAATGGGCCAACCCAAATCGTGCAGAACATTTTTGGCCTCGGATATGAAAACTTTACCTTGGCACCACCAAGTTGATGAACAAAGGTGCCAATATTTGTCCTTGAATTATGATATCCTCAGATCCATCTATATTAGCAATAATCATGACTTAAAATACTACTTCTGAGTATCTAGTATTGTCCAAAGTTTCCAGCGACCAAAATTGAATTGAAGAACCTCTGGAGCCAAATGACCAAAAATCCAATATATGACAAATTTAAATTAGAAGAACTTTTGTTACGTCCAGTTTTTTGCTCGTTGATCTTACGAAGCACTGTTGTCGTCTATTTGTAATTCACGGTCCCAAATTTCTATACCAAGAACGAAACTCCAAAGTAGATACCAAAGTTTATTCCAAATCACAAATTCGACCAAAATACTTTATTACAAATAGACGACCAATGTCGTTCTAACAACAATAATTATAATAATTACAATTAACTTCTAATTTATTATCTCTTGGAGCAAAAAACTGCAACGAACAACAAAGAGAAACGGGAGTCCAATATGTCCGCAAATAATAATTCAAACAAGTTCATAAGTTAAGTAAAACAAATATACCCAAAAAACAGTGAAATTAATGATTATATATATAAAGGTTTGATCAGCAAAATGTCTTCGTTTCTCCCGTAACAATCGGCTCTCGATTTAAACTACGACAATGCTTCCATTTCCAAAAATCGCTTCCTGCTTATGATGAAACTGTCTTAAAAATGGAGTTATATGTTTCTGTCATTCGAAATAGTTGGGAGAATATTAAGTTTGTTAATTGTCAGTATGCGCACAGTTTTATTATCTTGTCCGATTGAACGTTATTTAATTTCGGGATTGAAGAACTGATGATAACGAATAACATGTGCTAAAGTGAGCATTCTAGATGTAACCGATTAAAGTCCATTAACTTAAAATATAATTAATGACTGATGGCTCTGCATATATGAATGAAGTCCGTCAAGTTCTATGGTTCAAAGAAAAAAGCAGGATCAAAAGAGCTATTAGAAATCGTAGAAAAATGTAGTTGGACGCAAGTAGAACTACATGAATTTTAGAACATTATCCCAATCAATTTGTTGAAATTGTTTTATGTGGACTGTATGAGGTTATGGCTGCTGTGTTAAGCTAATGCTCTACAGATTGAGGTATTTAGTATGAACTCAGATCTAACGGACCGATGTTTATTTGACTAAACTGAACTAAGTTCTTCTGGATACCACCTTTTAGAGTCATCCGTACATAATAATCCGAAAAGAAAACTTGGAATAATATTATTAGTCATAATCAAGGAAAAAAGTCAAAGACATCGGACGGTACAGCCTATGAATTGTACCGTGTAATACTAGGACTTCAGGATTACCAACATTGGAATTTCTTGAACTCAGTTTGTGATGTACAAACCGAGATGGCGGCGAAAATAATCCTCAAATTAGATGGTGTCGTAATTGTTCGATATTGGTGCTGACCTTGGTAACTTTTCAGGTCACATCCCTAAATGGAGGCGTTTAAATAAGCAAACAGTCGAGATCGCGTTTAGTCACGTACTGAAGAGCATCTTTTAATGCAAGTATCCAACCTAGATTTCATACAATTTGGCACAAGAACTATTACTAAATTAAATCCCTGCATCTTCATGTGTTGGGAACTATCGAGTCATCAATTTCGTTGCTTAAGGTAGATTTTACGATCAGTAAAGATGTCCGTTAAGTTGTCACTTATGGTTTTCTCACATGATTATTTGTTCACTCAATATGGCTCGAAAATAATGGTGTTTTAATATGCTCATAACATTCGCTTGCTTTAGGTGCAGATAACGGATAACTAACTGGAGCTCGTCAAACGAAGAATTTTACCCAACCAAGAGTTTGACAGCTGTCATGGTGATATGAAGTTGGGATATATATTTGTAAGGTAAAAGAATAAAATTATCGGTCATGTAGGAGTTTTCGTTATCCTGAAATAACACGTAACCGGAAATTTCAAATAGTGAAATTTCACTCCAGAATTTTCCGCTTTTCTTTAAGTATGAAAACCTGGTAACTTGTCCTTTATTCACCATGTTACTTCTGCTTACTTGGAAATCTATCTAAATCTCATAAACTCCCTTTCAAAATCTAGCGAATTCGCCAAAAATCATGCGGATCACTCACCCTTTCTCACTGGCCATTTCAAAAAAGGAGGATTGGTCTTTTGCTTCTGGAAAATCGGAAAATGATGTCCACACTGACTTCAGCAAAGCCCTTATTAAGACGCTTTGCAGTAGACATTTTGAAACTGAAATCTGTATGAATATCTGAACATTTTCCAAACTGGGCCGCGCACAGAAATTTTGAACAACTTCCAAATTTTCCTCTTCGAAGCTGGTACACGTTGGACTACCTCAGTGTTCCTTTTTTGATCCTACACATTTTGTACAAATATTGATTACAGACACAACCATTCTAACTTGTAAATTACATTCAGTCTGCAAGTCACTGTATGGAATGTGACTTGAATTTCTTTGAAGTAGCACAGTGAAAATGTATCATTGCACTTCTAAACTCCACGAGGTCGCTATAAATTGGTCAGCATGAGACATTAAACCTCTTTATTCTACTCCATCTCAGATTAATGGATCATCTAATTTTGAATTACAGAGTAATTCGGGATAGATACGAAAATGATACATTTTATTTTCTTACTAATAGATTGTAAAGGCATAGAATTTGGATCAGGAGCTTTTGAAACCAAAAAAGATCAGGACCCAATTAGCTTACCAGTAGTTCCCTGAAAGTCATCAATTCTTGGAACCTACTATATACAGAAAAGTTCGCGTTGAGGCGAATTATTCGCTAAAAGGTGCAATGCTCACAGAAGAAATCTGATTCTAGTCTAACCTGAATACACATGTCTAGAATCCAAAATATCTAGAATTGGACCTTGGTTTCAGGAGTTGAGTCAAGGTCGTGCGGGAGGCATAAATCATTGGCAGTGTAACGTTTTCGAAGCCTTAGGCTACCAACTTCTAGTTCCCGTTAAAACTGTGCTCTAATCTCATACATGTGTTATCCCTGGTTTTTATTGATTGCTTATGTTATTGAAAGTAAGTGCATTTTGAGTGCTTACTGAGTCTTCCACTGTCGTTTCGCATGTTCGTCATCCAGACATCCCCATATACTGCTTCTCATACTCCCTCAGCACTAAAGGTACCTTCAGGATGATCGAAAATTACAAAATCCTGAAGTTTCATTTGATGATGAGGGTGGGATCCAGTTCTCTTATATTCATGCTTATGCACAATTCTCGTCACCCATCGCGCTGCATGTAACTTGATTTATTACCTCCATTCACGTTGATGTAACTCATCAGCCTCATACACATTTTTCAGCTTTATTAAGCGCGGGTACCACATTGGGGAAAGTGCTTCTTCACCAGAGGTAGCTATGTAGCCCATTCGAAACCTTAGACTACCAACTAGTTTCGATTACCGATTAGGCCTAATCTCATGCTTGTATTATTTCTGATTTTTGCTGATTACTTTCTCTTGTAAAAGTAAGTGCATTCTGTCTGCTCACTTTTCCGTCCGTCGACTTTTTCTTTTGTTCTTCCTCTTCAAGATAACCTCAAATACTGCTTCATTCCTCCAACACAAAGGTACCTTGAGAATAAACTGACACTTACCATAGGCTGAAGTTGCAACAACATATCTTTACAACTAAACTTCCTATGTTGTTTGAGTATATTTTGGAGTTAGGTAAGTTTCTTTATTGCTAAATTATCTTCCGTTTTGATTGATCTGTAAATTTTGACTTGATAAAGTTCAAACAGCTCATTTACAAAACCCATTAGTCTGGAGTTATACGTTGCACCTTGATCATCATACATGATAGTAAAACTCACTTACTTAAACTGTGGCCATTTTCAAGTCATAATGAAAGTGATTTTCAATAACCATTTTTCCATAGTATAACAGGGTAAAAACATAAAGCGAAATTAACCATTAAAATACCTGGGAAAACCATTAATTTTAGTTTATATGAACTAAGACTCTTGTCAACACATAGCCGCATCAAGCCTCAGGTTTGTAACCAGTCCACCTATCTAGCATCTTGGTGTACATAAATTCAGTCATTCAGCAAAAACATAGAACGCACATGCTTACATTAATCCAAGTTGCCATACCACATTAGCACAGACATGTAATTTTCTATTCAAACGCCATAGTAGTAGGGGTAGTATGTGCATTAGCAGTAATCGGGAATTTTAGGGTTCGAAGATATTATGCAAGAAGTAGAATCTAGTGAAATAAAAGAAAAAGATAAAGCGATGACGAATTCAAAAGTTTAGGATTTCATAGAACACAAAGATTGGATGCACCTGCGCCATTGCAAAAGCCATGTCATTCAGGGTCTTCAACCATTGATTACTGTCATCTCGCGGACCCTAACCAGGTAGTCGACACCTACCGACATGACACAGTCCACTTGTCAGTAACTTCATGGATTTGTGCCATGTTTTTGTTTGTCCGCCCCTAGCCAATAAAAGACAATCCTGAAGCAACATTTTGCATTTCGATGGGCAGAATCGCATCCCGAACGTGCTTGCATTGTCACTTAGGGTCACAAGGAGACTCTCCATTTTGTCAGCGTCTTCACCGGATAGGACTTCGCCATCAGCATACTCTAAGTCAGCAAGTGTGTCTCCTAGTAGAAGGTCCACTCTTGTAGATTCAGACAAAGACAATGTTATATCTAGAAGCATATCTACGACAAAGTTAAACAAGAATGGAGAGAAAGAACAGCCCTGACGGACACGGCTTGGAGTAGCCAATTCCGATGACAGTTCGCCATGACAGTTACTCTGTGATTGTCACAAGAGGACTTTTGTCCTTTTTTATAGACTGTGACAATCACTGATTGAGACGAGTCAGATGAGATTACGTCCAGTTCCCCAATTCCACCTAAGATCTCAGTCAATCTAGCTGCTAAAACTGGACTACTATCCTTAAAAATCTCAGAGGTCAATCTGTCAGCACCCGCTGCTCTCCGTTGCTTCAGATTTCCTATCACTTTCTCAACTTCATAGAGTCGGAGGGCTTACGTCGACTTGCCATTCAGGATGACTGGAGATCGGTCCAATCTCCTGGATTAAGAACGAATGATCAGGCCATCGTTTGCCGAAATAGTGTCACTTACATTGGGGTTCCTAATACCGGTTTTCTTGATGAGTCTGAATAGTCGTCTACTGTTGCCTGTCGCCGCTGCCTTTTCCATCTCTCTCGCTTTCACTACCCAGCACTGTTCGCGATCATTGGGTAGGCTTTTTATCAGCCTGCGCGTAAGCTGACTTCGCTTTTCATCATGTTCAGAGATAGTTGGGTTGAGTTTAAAAGCGTCTGTCAGTTCGGTGGATGTTGCTAGGATCCATAGCTTCTTACTAGCCTTATGGTTAACCTTACTAGCAGATATCACTGCTGTTTCCACAGCATTTTCTGATAGCATTCCAAACTGCCTCAGGGTGGGCATCACTTACTACATGTCTGCCTGTTTTTCTAGTTGTTCCTGAGATATATTCTTAGCTTTATTATCATCAAGTAGAACCCTAAGAGGTTTCTGTGCGACAGTTTTCCTACGTCCAGTAAGTCGCAAACAAATACGCGCTCGCACTAGAACATGATCTGAGTCCAAACAGGCGCTCCAGAATAAGCGGCAGTCCTCAATAGAGCCTCTCCACCGATGGCTTATGGCGATGTGATCTAGTTGGGTCAATTGTTGGGACAAGTTTGAGGGTCGCCATGTCAAAAGATGTTTTTCCTTATGCTTAAAGTTAGTGTTTGCCAGGAATAGGCGGTTATCTGAGCACAGCTGCGGCAGACGGTCGCCATTATCCGTTCTATTAGCCGCGACATTTATAAGATCCACCTAGGTGTCTTTCCTTTTCACCTAATCTACCTACTTGAGCATTAAAGTCGCCAACCATAATTATTATATCAGAGCGCTTTATTTTTTGGAGGAGGTCCTCAAGCTTTCTGTAAAACTCATCTTTCACCTCGTCTGAGCTGCGGTCAGTAGGAGCGTAGGCAGATACGACGAAGAGACAACGGCGAATTTCCATTTCTTTACGAGTCCGTACCGTCCCGTTTAGTCGGACATCGCATAAGCGACTGTCTACCGGGATCCAGTCTAAGAGAGCTAGTTCTGCCCGACGACTCAATACTATAGTTAAACCACAGGGAGAAACATTAGGACTTCAAGAAACACGAAGCGTAAATCGTGTCGTTTCTGTATCTGCACTAGTTGAAATCAAATTGATGACTTTACTCGGATCTTGTATGCGCGTTTCGGAGACGCAACATACACTGATGGAATGGGGTTCCAGGGTTCTAGTTAATGAAGCCTGGTGACCTATTTGGCACAAGGTTCGAACATTAAAAGCTCCAATGTGTAATTTGGTACGGGTTTTCAGGAAACCAGGAATAATGTTCCGTGATCTCAAACTGTTTGCTTCAGCGACGCGAGTTGACAAACGATCTAAGGAAGAGTTGGTCGAGGAGATAAGAGAGATGTTAGTGGGTGTAGAAAGGATTTGATTGTGACCGATTCGGTCTCGTGTGCGTTTATGGGTATGAGGGCGGATGTTACTTCCCGGCTGCCCATACCGTGGAAGGTCTCTGAGTTATCGTCGTCGTGCTTTCCGAAGGAACTAGGATTTTATCGTAAGACGTCATTGCTCTCCGAAATGGAGACCTAACTCCCAGAGCAGAGTTTAAGTCGTGTGAATTATTTTTGCTATCTAGGATTTTTTTTCAGTGAGTTAGTTTCTTGTTGTATGGTGTCTTTAACCCCAATCCCAACCCTCCTCCTTTATCCGGGCTTGGGACCGGCAGTAGCCATCGAGGGTCTACCTGCGGAGTTTCACTCAATATTAGGACCCTTTGTTCTGAGTTTGGTAGGTTTGAATTACCTATAATTTGATTTTATGTTTTTTGCCAGAGCATTCTGTAGAGCTCATTTGTTTAGAATTTTCAACCAACAAAATTTGAATTAACGTTATCAGACCTATTATCAATGAAATTATTTTTTTTCAGTGAGAAGATAGCTGTCTTCTGAATGCAAATTTCTGGTTATTATAAATGAGTGTTATTGCTGCTAAAATGAAATTGTGATATGATCCGTTAAAAATGTACAATTTCAACGTACTGATGCATTCATCTTCTTATGTCTTTTTATTGTTGCTTACCTTTAGATTCATGTGTTTGGATTCACTTAATCAGTTTTTGCGGTTTTGACTTTTATTCTTCTATCCACATAACTTACTGAATAACCAAGGTTCATCACACGTTATATACTATTTAACGTCTACCAATATATTCGTGGGAATTTTATTTATATAACCATGGTAGAAGATAAACCTATATCTAGTCAGGAGGGCGTCGCAGAACATCATATACCAGCCAGCAGTATAATGGATTCAATCTACCCTGGTAAACATGGTGAAGCTTCCGCTGAATACGTTACTGCAATTTATTCTTACATGCCCCAGCATTCAGATGAAATAAATCTACGGACAGGTCAAAAAATTAAGGTATTTATTAGTAGTTTCCAAGTATGTCTGACAGTTGATATATGTAGCTTCAATTGATAAATTCTCCGCCAAACTGAAAAAACAGTAAAAATAGCTCCTCTTGATTGTGTTTGCTTTCACTGTATGCTTATTTATGTTCCCTATTATTAACCATTAGTGTGTATCTTCTAGTAAAAGTGTGGAGTTCTTGTTTTTATGAATGCTGCCTACTAGTTGTCTATCGATAAGCTACTTGTTATTTTTGCTATTTCATCTAGATCTGCTTCGTTCTATTTCATGCTACCCAAATACTGGTATCTTTTTTTTCCGACATATGTCGTGCGACGCTCTACATTTTCCTGTGTGTCTTTGATGTGGATGGACAATAAATTGTTCTGAAGTATATATTTTTCAAGGGTTCAATGATTTGAACGATATCAGAAGTTGGTAGTAGTCAGTCGATTTTATGATTTATCAGGAAAGTTAACTGGAGAAAAGTTTTCAGAAATTACAGACACAAGTAACTGAATATTCGGGTGTCAAAATAAAGTTTACAGAAAGCAGTTCAAATTATTCTCCCTAGCGACTTATGAGGAAAGATTATAGCTGTTGATACGAGTTTAAATTCAGTCATATCAACATTTGTGTTACCACTTTGTGTTATCAGCCTTCACGATCGAGTTGCTGATTAATTCTTTTTCCTTTTACTTATGCCTTTGCAATTGAGATAGAATAATAACATGTACCATCCACCTTGGACTGGGGAGGCTTTAGTGAAACCAATACAGGAAGCAGTATTAAAATGCGATGGAATAATTTCTGATGCCTTCAATGCAAAGACTTTTAACACTAATTGTAATTCGATTCAATATTCTTCCTGCTGTGAAGAATATTTATACTTCGTTGAGTGTAAAATTAAACCTATTCTTCAGTCTTAAAGCAGTCTACAACTTTGTTTATTGAAAAAAATTAAAAATTTGTTTTATGCAGCATACATGGTTGGGAAGAATGTCTCAATATGGGAAGTTTACTGTTCAAGCTCTTTCTGTTGTGCTATCATGTTTAGCGGCAACCCCATTTTGTGATCAGCTTTGCGTTTCGTTACTTCTCTTACTTCCACTGTAAAGTCGACTAATTTGAGGCATTCTATCCAGGCCAAATACTGATAGTTAAAACCTCAACAGTGTGAATCCTACAGCTTGTATTATATGTATAACAAAAAATTTGGCACTACAGTTTGAAAAAGATCTGCGCCACGTAACTGAAATGGAATTATTGTAAATGGACGAAGGGGAAGTTATGTAATCAATAATTACATGGACCAGAATTGTATCGCCTAAAAGATACGGTTTAGCTAAAAAGCAGTCAACTTGGATTTTATTCAAGCAAGATGCTGAGCTTTATTTTCATGACTATTTCTGTTGAAATCCAATACAGTGTTTGTTTTAGGTTTGATGGTTTTTATGTCTATTTTCTATTTGCTTTATTGTCTACAACATTGTTGTATAAGATTTTAAAACCGTATGGTATCTTCAAAGCTTTTCAGTTTATCGTTTTTAAGAAATTGGGTCGTGAATTGATACTTTCTGCGTTTTATTGAATATTGTCATTGAATCTTCTTAATTTATTACAGATTTTGTCCAAAGACTGTCGACATTCTGGAGCTGAAGGATGGTGGGTTGGCCAAGAACCAAATACAGGTTATATTGGTGTATTTCCTAGTGGCTATGTTTCAAACCCAGATGACACCGTAGACAGTGAATCGTCAGTGATGAATGAAACAAAAGCTAATTCGTTTAAACCAAATGAACGGAATGATGGCGCATTTCATATAGTTAACAATATGGATACAACTATGGCTACAACCACAACGAAAGAGATATCTTTTGACAATAGGTCACTTGACAGCGACGTAATTCTTAGACACAATCACGTTAGGACAATCCCTGCTACGGAGTTAGTGCAACAACAGGTAGATCTTACTGTTAAGTAAAGTAAACAAGTTTGTCTCGGAGTATTTAGGTAGCGTTTATTTGCCTAGTGAAATTTCAACCAATCGGTTATAAACAACGTAAAATCTGGAGCCAGCGTCCGTCGGTCTAATTTGCTGCACTATGTCGACAAAGTGAGGTGAAATTGTCACTATGGCTGCTAAATTAGATTTATCATTAGCGGTGTTAAGAAACTTTAGACAGATAATATCGTTGGGAAAAATGAATTAATCTTCAAAATGAAAAAATCCTAAAAATCACGATCCGGCGGTTGATAATTGTAATGCTTATGTGCCTTCATGACCTGTTTCGATCTGTGTTTCGTAGTATCTCCAAACTTTGATCATCCCAGTTAAAAATTCTTAACCGTCCCTAAATAGCTCAAGTTAACTGTCAGCGATTCAAGTTAATGCTACATCTTAGTTTGGTGATATTTAATGTTATTCCAATGTAATCTTAGTCTAGTTAACCTTAAGCATGTTGATAACTGATGGTAGGGGATACCCAGTACATGTCCCAACTAACTCAGCCAATAGTAGTTTCCGACTTCATCAGTTGATTTGCCGTTTTTTCTTGGCACTTTGTGTCTAACCTCCCTCACTTTGTTGTTCCTCAATTCACGATGTTTTGAGAAGACATATGGTTGAATGTCAATAGGTTACAAATATCCCCTACATGTAAAGGTCACGTTTCACAACTGTCGAGTAAAATAGCATTATGTTTTGTATTGATTTCATGAAAGGAATTTTTCTCGGTGACATCTATGTATTGTGATGGAGAGTACATCCGACTTAAATCTCAGAAGCATTTTATTGTTAGTTCGATTCTATAAGTAAACTGCTGGGGAAAGGTGCGTGTTCAATTCTCAACACCAGTCAAGCCCTGTGTAGTGATACTAATGGGATATAATTGTTTAGGTTTCTAAATTGGTTTCATTTGGAACTACTCACCTGTATGAAGTTCTTCAGAAAGAAATCTACAGTTGTTCACTGAGATTTAGAATTTATATGTCGTTCATATGTATCGGGTATATGATGTGTTTAACTATATTGTAGCTAAACTTATTTTGCGAATTATCCAGTGTAAGCTTGCCTGGTTCTTTTAAAGTGCCCATTTCGTTTGGAAGGCCGCATGTAGTGTGAGGAAAAGTGATAAACCAGTTAATCACGTTTACTCGGCGATTTTTTAAAGTCCACATCAGTAATATAATTTTATCCTTAGAATATGTTGGTGAAATTCACAGTAATTAGTATCCATTGCTCTAAAAAGTTTTCTGATCGAGCACGGGACTTCGGTAATATATTTAAGGTTAATGGGAGCAAACGCTACAACTAAAAAGTTGTGGATCCTATTTATTTGATCATATATATAATTGTTTTCCTCCTCCTAGTCTTCTTAAGCTTTTCATTGTTGCTTAGCTCTATTACACATTGATTTTTAGCTTAATAGCATTTTATCTGACGGTGCTTAGTGACTAAAATGGCTTCTTTCTTTATTGGTTGTTATTAGCATTTTTCGATCTGAGCTACATACTGGCTTTGTCACTATGTCAATGAACTGCTGTCTTTTCTTTCGTTAAGTCAACTAACTTTACCTGTTATTCACTTTTGTTCCTACAGTTTATTGGCTCAGGGGCATTTGGAAAAGTTTATCGAGGTCTTTGGCATAATCAGGATATTGCACTAAAAGTATTTGATCTAGCTACAAACCAGGTGACTTCTGTTTTTCATCAGCTTGGTAGATTATGTATACTCTTATTAGCTATAATGATTGAAATATATTTGTGTAATAATGGCTTTATTAACAAGCGTTTTTTAGACGAAGTCCGGTAAGTCAGTCAATCAGTTACAACGTAGGACTTCGTACATAAGTTCAGGTTGCCGTACCATATTAGTACAGAAACGCAATTGTCAGTTCAAATCCCATAGTGGTAAAAATAGTAGAAGTATTAGTAATCGGTGTTCTCTGAAATTCTAGATTGGATGCACCTGCGCCATTGCAAACGATTTTGAGCCATGTCATTCAAGGTCTCTAACCATCGGTTGCGATTGTCTCGCGGACCCAACCACCCAGTCCAGACCCACTGACATGGCTCAGTCCAGTTGTCAGAGACTTCATTGACTTGTGACATGTTTTTGTTTGGTCGCCACTAGCTTTCTTCCAACCTACCCCTGCATCATACAACATAGCTGGATGAGACAGTCGGTGATTGGGCATTCGTAACACGTGTCCCAAAAACCTCAACTGATGAAGTTTCAATACTTCATCTATTGATCTGTACCTTACTTAGTACTCGTTTCGTAGCAACAGCGTTACTTACTCGGTTTCCCAGTATACACAAGCAATGATTTTTATTAGCTTGTGCTTAAGCTGACTTCGCTCTTCGTCATGTTCAGAGCCAGACAGGATAAGTTTCCGAGCATCTATCTGTTTGGTAGATGCGAATGAGATTCACAACTTCTCCCTAACATTGTGGTTTACCTTACTGGCAGATGTTACTGCTGTTTCCACGACTATTTGGATATTGTTTCAATCTGCTTCAAGGTGGGAATCACTTACATGTCCGCCTAACTATTTTTCTAGTTGCTCCTGAAATATATTCTTGGCTATGCTATCGTTAAGTAGAACCCTAAGAGTTTTACTTGCAGTGTCTTTCTTACGTCCAGTAAGACGCAGATAAATACGCGCTGGCACTAGAGCATGATCTAAATCTAAACATGTACCCCAGAACGAGCGACAGTCCTCTATCGAACCCCTTCATCGGTGTCTGATAGTGATGTTGTGGTCTAGTTGGGTCCAGTGTTGGGACGAATTTTGTGGGTCGCCATGTCCAAATATGTTTTTCCGTATGCTTCAATTTCGTACTTGCTAGCGATGGGTGATCATCTGAGCACAGTTTCACTAAACGGTCGCCATTATCTGTTCTTTGAACCAAGACACCATAAGATCCATCCATGTATCTTTTTTTCCACTCTACCTACTTGAGAAATAACGTCACCCGCCACCATTACTACTTCAGAATGAGGTCCAGAAACCCTCTGTAGAATTCACCTTATACCTTGTCCGAGATGCAGTCACTGGGCACGGAGACCGAGACAACAAATCGTCAATGGTGTGTCCCTGTCTTCTCGAGTCTTTACTGTTCCGTTTAGTCGGACGGTGCATAGGCGTTTATCTGCTGGGATCCAGTCTAGGAGAGATAGTTCTGCTATAGAACTCAATGCCATACCTACCCCATCGAGGACATGTGAGGCAGCATTAGTCCTATGAGATACACGAAGCGTAAATCGCGACGGTTGTTTGTCTTGATAAGGAGAGGTTCAAAGAATTTCCATACTCGGATCTTATATTTGCGTTTTGGAGATGCGGCATACGTCCTAGACAAGGAAGCCTTTTGTACTATTTTACAAGGTCTGAACATTAAAAGCTCCAGCATGTAGTTTGGGGCTTGGTTTCAAGAGACCAGGCGTAATATTTTGCGTGTTCGAATCGTTTGCATTAGTCTCGCGAGATTATAAAGAAATGTGAAAAGAGTTAGTCGTGGAGACCAGATAATTATTAAGAGATGTAGAACGTACTTGATTGTGACCGAATCGGTCTCGTGTGCTGATACGAGTATGAGGGCGGATGTCACTTCCCACCTGGCCTACAATGGGTAAATGTATTTCTTGAGGAACCTGAAAAGCAAGTTGGATTAAATTCATTGGTATTCGACGCTTAGCTATAGCTCATGAAAAGCAAACTTGAGAAAACGAGGCTTGTGTCATACCTAGACGGTCATGTGTAAACCATATGTTAACACTTCATCTACTCGAACACTGCTGGCCGAGTCAGAACTTATGGGAATCGATAACCTCTTTTGTGTTCGTCAGCACTGTCCACTTTCTCCATTCTTGTTCAACTTGGTCAATGAAATGCTTTCAGAGACGTCGCTTTCATCATTTGACTTTTCAGGAGTTGGACGTTTGCCCGGAGATTCACTTTTTGACTTAGAATATGCTAATGACAAGGCTCTATTTGGTGAAGACGCTGGAGAAATGGAATCTTCTGACCACCTTGAGGAGCAATACAAGCATGTTCAGAATGCGATTCTCCCCCTCAAAATGAAAAATGTTGCTTCTCGATTGGTTTGCGTCTGCACCTGAACTATTGATTGATCGTGAAGTAGTTGAGTGTATTATATGTGTCGCTAAATTAAGGTCAATCTAATGACCATACTGTATGCACGTCTCGGAAATATGGCATACATTGATCGCTCGATATCCTAGTTCTACCAAAGGAAACCTGTTGTTTTCTTTTGCACAGAGTCTGGGTAATAAAATCTCCAACATGTAGTTTAGAGCGTGTCTTCATGAAACGATTAATAAAATTTCCTGTACTCGACTCATTTACATTAACGGTATGAGGCGATAAATCTTTATTAGAAGAGTTATTCGTGGAGCCAAGAGAACTGTTAAGTGTTAATGGAAGGATTCGATTGTGATCTAGTTATTCTCGTATACTGTTACGAGTAAGACGACGGATATCACTTCTCAGATTTTTTCTCGATGACTAGCTGTAACGATGCTTATGACCTTCTAACAAAAGAACGAGAATCATTGCTATCGTTAGTCAGCTGTTTTCACAGCGGTGTTTGTATTGCGGCCAACTGGCTTTCCTGTTTTCCTAAATCCAATATCAAATTCTTATTCATAAGAAGAGGTTCTGTCACTAAGTCTAACCAATTTCTTTTGTTTAAATCAAACCTTACCCAGTTTTTCGAACTGAATCAGGTGGACGTAAACTCAAACCATGCAACTAATAATTGAAAGTTAAAGAATTCCCCAACAAATACTTGTTTAATCAGATGCAACTTCGTTCATTTAAGTTTCTACGGTAAATAATATCCATCAAATTTGTTCTCTCCTCATACTCGCCTCCTGTACCGAGAGAAAGATCACATCCAGTGATTGTGAACTGCATTTTATGGGAATATTTGACAAACCCAGTTGTGTCTTACACTTGTATATTCATTAACACGTAATCTGCATTCTTTTCATAGGTGAATAACGAGGCTTTACACTTATGCAGATTATCTCATCGGAACATTGTGAAATTTTATGGAATCTGTAGGTTAGATACCTCTAATTTCCCAGCACTTGTAATGGAATATGCTTATGGTGGTTCCTTGAATATGGTTCTCAACCAACGACCTCTGCTAGGTCCGCTTGTTTTACTTGATTGGGCATTACAGATCGCTAGTGGAATGGCATATTTACACACGGATGCCAGAATTTGTCATAGAGATTTGAAATCATCTAACAGTGAGTCTTCAGATTGTTTTAATTTCGCAAAGTCCTAAGAATGAGTTAATATATTGTGGTAAAATTAATTCTTGTAAAATATATTTTTATTTATTCTCCTTTGAGGTCGATATTTGATTTCAGTCTTTGTCTAGGTCCATATTTTCTTGAAATTTGGCATTGTTTCGCTAATAAAAGATAATTCTCAAAAATAATAGGATGTCTAACAATTAGGCCTAACCCTCAGGTCCTCCCAAACGCATTTCTTCCAATCGTCTGTGACATTTCATGGTGTTCATTTTGTGTTCATATTTCGTATATAATCATGCTGATTTATTACATAAAAATACTATTCATTTGGCTAGTTGTCTTGTTTTTGATTTCTAATTGTGCTGTTTAAGTCAATTATATGATCACATGAGAAGCCACCACTCGCCCACTCTTTACATTGCGGTATCTATCGATTTAATAATCGATATTTCACGTCATTCAAAAAACTCACTCTATGACAGTGACAACTGGGATAAAATTCGATATCCAAAATGTCAATTTCAGTGGATGAGTGGGACTGATTATCTATTCAGCTGATGCGGTCCCATACGGAACTTATTAAAATCCCTCTAAATGAATCAGAACTTGACCTCCGCCCACATATTACTATTTTACAGTCTAATTAAAATCAGAAAGAATGCATCATAGACGAAAATGTCAGTTCATTCAACAACGCACTGATTGCACGGAATGATACTACTGATTCTGTGAAGAGGTTCAAATTCGCTGTCAAATCCATTTCAGCCGTGTCACTACAGTAAAATTTCAAACTCACGCTCAGAATCTCCAATATTGACTACACAACATTCATTTAAGTCTTCAGTTTTCCTTTGGAAATGTTAACTTTTAAAGTCATAATTTATTATATTATGTACTGACGCTTACAGTACTGTTCCTTTTTGACAAGTTGATTGTCAAGTTAAGTATTTGTTTTGTATTATTCTTTTTAGTTCTTATCAGAGAAACCGTTCACAAACCGTTTTCCATAAATGAGCTTCAAAGGTGTACCCTACTGATTACTGATTTTGGAATGGCTTGTCGCTCTAGTCAACTAGCACCACAACAGTCTAAATTAGGCACTGTTGCATATGCAGCTCCAGAAGTGTGCCGTCAAGTTAGTCCTTATTTCCTAATAATTACTCATTTTATTTTGAAAATTTGCCAGACTAGTCTACTTTAATTAGGACTAATGATTTTGATGATATATCATGATTAAAATGCACATCTCTGTTTATGGACAAGTTATATGAGCTAAAGCTAATGTACTATTAGTTAACAATGAGAAATTGATGCGTGTCTTCTGTACTTACTATTGGAGAAGTTGTTTTGGTTTTGAAATTTGTCGTTTGATAGTTCCCTAACTAGTATGAGGTTATTCCTTAAAATATATTTTATTATCCTATTCTAACTTTTGTTTTGATTTTCAATTACCATTAATGCTCAACTTGTATTAATTATGTCTGTATCGTTTACATCTTTTAACCTACACTGAACAATCAAAGTTGTTTCATGTAAAATTCAATATATCCACCCTTGACAAACATTTATTCAGTTTTATTTGTAACAACTTTGTATGCTCATATTATCCACTCGTATCATGTATAAATGGCATATAAAATAAGTGAATAATCCCATCAGTTTAAAATGTGTTCGAATTCCTTTTTTTGTGATTTTAGGAGGGATTTTCTTTCAAATCGGATATTTGGTCATACGGTGTTGTTCTATGGGAGTTGCTTACGTTAGATATACCGTTCCGTGTGATGGAGCAACCTAGGTTATTGTTTATTATTGCAATGTATAATTATACTCTGTACATACCACCGGGCGTTCCAGATCTCTTTGTCCAGTTATTTAAAGGTTAGTCGCTGAAATTTTTTTGGGTTGTGAGCGGTACTTGTGTTTAATTCATGTATAAAGTCGAATTTAAATCATTAGCTAAGTACAGGTTGGTACGCCAAACTTTGAGTCACATCCTTTATACAGTGGCTCGTTCTACCACTTAGTCGCCCAAATCAAAGTAAATTGGGCATGGTTCGAGCCCACTGACCCTAAGTTTCTTGATCTGTAAGCCATAAGGTATATAAATGAAAATCCATTTCGCATGATTTAGTTATAGAGGGTAAATTGTATCATTCTTTCTTCACTTATATATATTTACCTGTTCTTGGTTAATAAGTTACATTATTAAAATTTATAGTACCAACCTATATTGAGAATTATGTTGGATTCAGTACTTTTTCAATTGATATTTATACCTGTTATTAGTTTGTCAAACATTTTCATTCAAATTCATATGAGAGCATATTTCTTTGAATAATGAGGGTTGTCCAACTAACCTAGGTGAATCATCCGCACCTACCAACCTGGTTTAATTGCTGAACATTCACTTTTCATCTCAATCTTGTGGACTACACCCACACCGCGAAAAGTAGTGAGTAGGACTTCTTGGTTAGTGAATTTACACATGTAGACGTGTGAGGTGTTGAATTTCAACACATTTTGACTGTTTAAAGTCTACTCTACAATATGCATCGTTTTACAATAGTTCAATAGAAGGCTCCCGACCGAAGCTGCTACCTTGAGGTGATGGTCGGGGTGGCCTATCGTGATGACCCAACCGAGCTATATTGGCTGGAACTTATGTTCCTGAAGGTTCTACCATTCCAGGCAGGTCGATTGGAGAGCGATGAGATTAAAAGCAGCTACTCAAGGTCTGAGGGCGAAGTCGTACTGCTGACTGCAGAGGGGTGTGACAGCAGTAAGGTGTTTCCCTCGGACAACCAGCATCTGCAGCGATACTGCCTTCTGACGAGGAAGCAAAGGTTAGAAAAGGTCGACCCTAAAAATGTCACACCTCACCCTACCTCACGGGTTTCCGTCTCCTTGGGTAAGGGTGCCCACTAAGGGCTTTTAAGAGCGGAGCTAACACTCAGAAATCTTCTCATAAAAAAGCCATGCGTGACTGACCTCAAGCAGTTGTTCCTTGGACTCTGCGGTCTCGCTCCCAGGTCTCCAAGACCAACACTAATCTATCTTCCTTTTCAGGTCCCTCAAGAAGCAACCTTCCACGGTGACGGCAACCGGTAAGTGACAACCGCCCTAAAGCCGTAACAGCTCGAGAGACCGAATTGGTCAAAATCAAATCCTTCTTACACCCCCTAATATCTCTATTATTTCTACGAATAACTCTAGTAGCATTCCTTCAGCTCACTGCACCGCTAATGCAAACGATGCGAGTTCACGAAACGTCATTCCTGGTGTCTTGAAACCTCGTTCTAGACTATATGTTGGAGCATTTAATGTTCGGACATTGTGTCAAATAGGGCAACAGGCGTCATTAGCTAGAACTTTAGAATCTCGCTCCATCGATGTATGCTGCGTCTCGGAAATGCGCATACAGGATCCGAGTAGCATCATTCACTTGATCTCACCATGTCAAGATAAAGTAGCTACTCGATTTACCCTTCGTGTATCTGAAAGCCCTGATGCTGCTTACCGGGGTCTCGCTGGTGTAGGTATAGCATTGAGTCTTAGGGCAGAATAATCTCTCCTTGACTGGATCCCAGTAGACAGTCGCTTGTGCGCCGTCCGACTGAACGGGACAGTAAGGACTCGGAAAGATGGGGAACTTCGCCGCCGCCTCTTCGTCATATCTGCCTACGCCCCCACTGACTGCAGTCCAGACGATGTGAAAGATGAGTTTTACAGAAAGCTTTCGGACCTCCTCCAAAAAGCTTGGCGCTCTGATATAGTATTAATGGCTGGTGACTTCAATGCTCAAGTAAGTAGACTAAGTGAAAATGAAAAACACCTAGGTGGATGTTATGGTGTCGCGGTTCAAAGAACAGACAATGGTGACCGTCTGTTGCAACTGTGCTCAGATAACCAACTATTTCTAGCAAACACTAATTTTAAGCATAAGGGAAAACATCTTTTGACCTGGCGACCCCCGAAGTCGTCTCAACGTTGGACGCAACTAGATAATATCGCCATCAGCCACCGATGGAGGGGTTCGATAGAGGACTGTCGCTCGTTCTGGGGCACATGTTTGGATTCAGATCATGCCCTTGTGCGAGCTCGCATTTGTTTGAGGCTTACTGGACGTAGGAAAGACACCGCAAGGAAGCGTATTAGGGCTTTACTTGATGATAATCAAGCTAAGAAAATATTTCAGGAGGAAGTAGAAAAACAGTTAGGCGACCATGCAAGTGATTCCCATCCGGAGGCAGGTTGGAATGATATCAAGAAGGCTGTGGAAACAGCAGTGATATCTGCTAGTAAGGTAAACCACAATGCTAGGATGAAGCCGTGGATTTCAGTCGCATCCACCGAACTGATGGATGCTCGAAAACGTATCCCACCTGACTCTGAACATGATGTAGAGCGTAGTCAGCTTAGGCGCAGACTTACAAAAAGCCTACGTAACGACCGTGAACAGTGGTGGGTGGCGAAAGGAAAAGCGATGGAAAAAGCAGCGGCAATAGGCAACACTAGACAACTTTTCCGCCTTATTAAAGAACCCGGTATTAGGAACCCGAATGTGAGTGAGACTATCTCGGAAAAGGATGTTCTTATTATCCATTCTCAAACCAGGAGATTGGATCGATGGGCAGAACACTTTAGGGATCAGTTCAACTGGCCTCGAGCCACACTTCGGTTGCCCACGATTCCCAGTCATCCTGAATGGCAAATAGACGTAAGTCACCCTAGTCTCAATGAAATCTGAAGCAAGGGCGAGCTGCAGGTCCTGATAGACTGACCTCTGAGATATTTAAGGATGGTGGTCCAGTTTTAGCAGCTAGGTTGACTGTGATCTTGGGTAGAATCTGGGAACTGGACATAATTCAGAGTCTTCTGACTACCCTAAGCAACAATGCAAGCATGTTCGGGATGCGGTTTTCCCCCTCGAAATGCAAAATGCTGCTTCAAGATTGGCTTGCAACAGTCCCTGAACTAGTGATAGGGAGTGAAGTAGTCGAGCGTGTTGATCACTTCACTTATCTGGGGAGTCTCATCAGTGCCGATGGCCTGGTGACTGACGAAATCTCAGCACGGATACAGAAGGCTCGATTGGCTTTTGCCAACCTGCGTGACTTATGGCGTAGGCGTGATATCCATTCGCTAACCAAAGGACGAGTGTACTGCGCAGCAGTTCGCTCGGTTCTCCTACATGGATGCGAAACATTGCCGTTAAGAGTAGAAGATGTTCGTAGGTTACTAGTATTCGATCATAGATTTTTAAGAAGCATTGCTCGTATATCGTGAGACAACCGAGTAAACAATGCTGTCGTTAGGAAACGAGTACTAGGTTAGGATGGCAGATCAATCGATGAAGTGGTGAAACTTCATCAGTTGAGGTGGTTGGGACATGTGCTGCGTATTCCTAACCACCGACTGCCGCGACGAGCTATGTTTTGTGGTGTAGGAGTAGGTTGGAAGAAAGCTAGGGGCGGCCAAACCAAAACATGGCAGAAATCCATGAAGTCACTGACTAGTGGACTGAGTCATGTTGGTAGATGTAGACTACCTGGTTGGGGTCCGCGAGACGAAAGTCACTAATGGTTAGAGACGTTGAACGACATGGCTCAGAATCGTTTACAATGGCGCAAGTGCATCCTCTCTTTGAGCTATCTCAAATCCTAATCTTCTGGATCCGTCAGCACCTCTACGTTTGTCTTTCTAACCTTATCTCACTGAATTATACTTCTTGAATAATATCTTCGAACCCTAGTCTTCTTCATTACCATTAATACCTCTACTATCTTTATCACTATGGGATTTCATTTGTCATCTGCGTCTCTGTGCTAATGTGGTATGACAACATGAACTTATGTACATACGTACGTAGTTCTACGTTTCAACTGACTGACTGACTGACTGACAATAGAAGGCTTATTTTGCAGTGAGTGACTCAGAAATATTGAGTGGTTGGTATAGTTTGGATCCTCTAATATGTTACTTATCTGCTTGCAATTATTCACCCTTACAATAGAATACCGATAATTACATTTGCTAAGTAATTTTTTTGGAAAAATATTTAGATTGCTGGTCACCTGCTCCAGAAAGTAGACCTAAATTTGAGAATATTATGGCTCGACTTGAATCATGCAAAGATTGCAGTTTTGTAGATTTGGAGCCTGGTGAATTGGCTCAAATTCAAGAGGATTGGCGTGAACTCATAGCTGTCCATTATAACGAAGAACAGCAAGTATGTTGAATTTACTAATCATTCATTAATATGACATTTGCCTAATTACTACAAACTGCCTTCAGTATCCTTATTCCATTTAGTGTAGTAGTTTGTCTGAAAACATCTATTCCTGTGCTTGAGTCAAATAGTAGCGTTACAGTAGTTTTAGCTAACTATTGACATATTTAGACGTTTAAAAAAGTTTTTTGAAACAAGTGTGGGAGCACAACTTTTCTTTCATATCCACTTACTAAATTAAAATTAAAAACTATGTAAATCTATAAAGATTAGTCGAAAAATTAGTGCGATATACTTGAATATACTAAATCTTTACTTGTTAACCTCTGAATGCGTCACACAATCTTACAGTTATTCAATATTTTCGTCGCCTTTTCAAATGTCGAAATCCATTTTATAATTATATCTGTTCCTTTTGCTCGGTGTCATTAACTTCGTCTAGTGCGCATATATTTCACAAGTTATACTTGATGCAGTAAATTAAATGCAATCAGATACGACATGACTTCACTATTAGCTATCATGCTTATCCAAAACATTCAAAAATGACTCGAATTTCAAAGTACCAATAACTAACATTTACAAACCGTATTGTTTTTTTGTAATATTAACAAATGTTATCTATTGTTTTTAAGGTTTAGAAAAAATAGTTGTCTACTTATAGGTTGTATTCAGAAAATAAAGGATATCAATTAAACCATGTATTATAATTTAATAATTTGCTGTTTTGCTTATTTCTTAAAACAAAATTTTGTTAGACCGTAGCTGAAGTACTCTCATCATCGTTCAAAAGTGAAAGTTTGGATTTTTCAACAGAACTTTTAACGCAACTGGAAATGTTACGCAATTATCGTGAATCACTAGATAGAGTTAGAGCAGATCTAGTGGAAAAAGCTCATCAACTTCATATAAAAGAGGAATTGTATAATCGAGTGGCTGACACCATGGGTGTAAGTTTATAAAATCGACTACCGTTATTTCTGTTGGTTTTGTTCATATATATTTAAAAATCAACAATATTTTGATTGTTCACCAGATTTTGATATTTGCACCGTATTCCAAGATCCTGAGGTTACTGAACAGCAGAAGAACGATTTCGTAGTTCACACGATTTCTTGACCCACGCATCTTGTGTTGTCCGACTTTGTGGACACCGCTTGATCAGATGGCTTCTCACCTGTAATCGAATATAAATAGGTATTAACTGTTCAGTATTTATAAGAGTGATTTTATTGATATACATGTTTCCAGTTAATTAGAGTGCATTAGAATTGAACATTGAGAAAAAATATGCTCGTTTTAACGTGTAACTCACATGATCATAGTTTATGAAACAGCTTAAAGTTGTGTCGCAAGGTTTACTTACAAATCACTTGATTCAGTTTTCATTGATTTCTTTACCATTATAACCCGTTAGTTAAGTCTCGAATTTCCAGGGTTATTTCTTTCTATTCTATATTTTGTTTGAAGTTGGAAAACTTTAGTGACTGGTTTCCTCATTAGTCTAGCCTTTCCTAACTCAAGAACAGTAAAATGACAATTATGGAAATAATCAATTTGTTGCCTTGTCATATTTTGCAAATTTTGTCCTCATGTATTTTCTTCGAATTCTAATTTTTCACCTTTGATTATGTGGGGATTATGAGGGGAAATACACGGAGTGACTTAAAATTTACAACATGATACTGTAGAATAAAAATATATGTCAATGTGTAGAGCTTATGATGGCCTGTGATGTCGTGATATTCTTGGTTGTGAACATATGTAATAGATGATGCTTGTATTGTAATTTCCTCTAGGTTATTAATGTAAATAGTGTGAAAAACAGAAAGGTTGAAATAATTCTTCTGAATATCTATCTCTTTATCGTTAAACGTGAAATTTATTTTGTCGTGTTGTTTTACGAATGACGCGTTTGTACACCTAGTATTAAATCATATCTATCTGCCGTGCATTGTGTACACATAAAATACTTCTGATGGCTTGAAAATGATAGAATTTCTCCAAGAAGGAGCTGTCCACACATTGTCTTCTATGCTCATACCTGGAAGATGTTTATTCTCTGTAATGTACATCTTGTCTATCCTACCTTTTCCTTTTTTTCTTTTGTTGTCATTCATATTGTTGAGAACATCAGCTGATAGTTTAATTCTCACTGGTAAAAGCCACCTATGATAATCAGTGAAACTAACCTACTCCGTAAAGAGCAATACAGCTAATGAACCAAAGAATCAAAATATAGGGATTTTCACCACTCTCTATTTTTGTATAAGTGGACCTAAACGCCAACTTACAACAAAAGTCTAATTCTTTATCTTCTCTCTGTATGAATTGATGTACCAGCTGTGGCGGGCAACAGATCCCCAAAATAAATAGTTCTGTAGGTCTTTGAGATTAATGTCGATCTCATTAGTTTAGAGGATTGAACTGAAACGGTAAAGGTTGCGATATACAGAACGAAGTAATGTTTTGGAAAAAAATTTATGTATATATATAATTTAAAATTATTGCAATTAATGTTTGTTACTTTACATCAAGTTTATGTTTTTCAGTCTGAATAACGAGTCCTTAATACATTCTTTTATCATAACTCTTCGATTTACTTCTGCTTCTTTGAAATAATTTTTTGGATTGATTGTTATTTTACGTGTTAAGTTACTTAATTCAACCTTGTTTATTATAGTATGTTGACTGTTTTCATTTTTTCTATCAATATATTCAGCAACATTTTATGTTTTTGGCTGTTGTGGCTGCTAACCATTTCAAAGATTCCACTCATAAAATTCAAACTGCTCAACCCAAACCTCCTCCGCCTAGAAAACGCCCGTTTGTTCGTGGTATTTTTAGGCGATGGGGAAGTAATGGTAATCCATGTTCTACACCTAATGACTACATTAATTCAGTTACTTCGTTCACTAACAACTTTTCAGTGAAGGATCGTAAACGATCAATCAATTCCTCACATTATGCTTCTAACAATCATTCATATTTGAATATTAATACGAATAGTTCTTCAGATTTAAGCAGTTGTGTTTGTGATGAAACTCACTCGATTTCACGTGGAACATCCAGTCGAGTTGGTTGTAGTCAAGGTGGAATACCTCTAATTTCTCCACCCACAGATATGAAACATGTGGTTCATGTGGACTCAGATTGGTTTACCGGTCAAGGTTTATGCGAGTCAACGATGCGGTTATTTCCTTGTAAGTTTATTTTCCATCTTTTATATTATTTTCATGATATGATATTTATTTAAATATTTAACATCACATCACTTCTCAGAGTATTCCTTCAGAAAAAAAAACGCGTTGAAACTTTATTTTTAAGCTCAGGTTTTTTTTTATGAAAGTTTATCAAATTGTTATTTTGTTTAACATTCCAGCTGCTACATTCGTAAACTCCTCATTAGGTTCAACTAGTGACAAGTATCGTAATATGTCATCAGGTCGTTGTGGTGGCCCTCAAGTAAAAACGTTTGTAAATACTAAGTCGGATAGTAATATGGCAGATAAATTTAGTCAGAAATTATCACGTATTTATTCTAGTGGAAATAATATCACAGATCTTCGATCGCGTGAACAGCGTTTTATTGATGCCCAAAGGAACTTACAAAGAAATTTGAATCGATTTTCTAGGAAACCAAATTTTATTCGAAAATCTGAAAGTATGTTTAATTTTTAGCATCTGAGTGTTTTCTTTATTACCACTGAGTTACATTTCAATCATTCTTTCTTTCCTTTATTGTAAAGCAACAGTTTGAAAAGTCACCGGCGACTTTGCAAATATTACTGTAATCACCATATTTCTACGACATCAGTTTATCTATGAACTAGTTACAGTGTATACTGATGGAAACTTGTATTCTTGCGACAGGCCGTCTTGTGAAGCAGTACGTAGCAAATATCCGTCCTAATGATTTTAGTTCACTTTCAATAACAGCTATAATCGAAATTGTTTTTTCTTATACCACTTTAATTTTCAGTCGATGCCTGCAGTGTTCACTGATGGAAATATTTGTTGTATAGACTAATTTTTTTTGAAGAGAAAAGTGTGTAACCGTCACCTAGTACTTTAAAGATGTCTCCTTTATGCAGACCGTGTTGTTTTCGACTAATGATTGTTTTTTATTTTCCGTTTGATGAACTACTAATTCGTATATTTGTCTTTTGACTAAGTAATTTTGAACATCACTGCTGTAGGGTTGAATTGAATTAAAGCTAAATAAGCTATGGATCTCAAAACTATCGATCGAAAGTTACATTCTTGAATCACTGACTGACCATTTTATACAGACTTAAGTTCTTACATTCCTTTACTGATTCATCTTTATATGCAAATCGTTGGCAAGTTTTTTGAGATCCTTTAAATACTTTAGTTACTTCTACCAAATTATGTAACTTCTGACACCATTGAGATGGCCGTTAAGAAGAGAGGATATTCGTAGGCTACTAGTAATTTATCACAGGTGTCATTCATGTGTTCTTAAATCACTGAGTAAGCACAGCTGGGGCAGGAATAGTGTACTAAGTAAGGATGGCAAATCAATCGATTAAGTAGTGAATCTTCATAAGTTGAGTTGGTTTGGATATGTGTTACGTATGCCCAACCACATGCTACCTCAAAGAAAGATGTTTGCTGATCTGGGGCAGGCTGGAAAGAAACTATAGGTGACGAAACCAAAACATCATATCAGTCAGTAAAGTCATTGACAATTGGACTGAGTCATGCCATTAGGTGTGGTGTTAGTCATACCAGATGGTTAAAGTCTTTAAATGATATGGCTCAAAATCATTTAGATTTGTGCAGGTGCATTCATTGTTTGCCTTTCCCCAGATTTTAGGCATCTGAATTACTCATAATTTTTAAGAATTCTTTTTATTTCACTGATTCATATTTTCTTGAATCGTATCTTCAATCTCCCCACTAATACGTCTAAGACCTCTACTACTCTGGTATTCGTCCTGAAAATTTAATCTTTTTGTACTATACAATTTGGTCGTTGTTTTGAAATTGAAATTGTTTCTATATGCACGCACTACACGCTCAAATATTATGTCGAAACCTAATTGGCTTTTCGTTGCCAGTACAACTTTGTTATTATTTTGATAATGGTCTTATTATCCATTCTCAATCCAGGAGACTGGACCGATGGGCAGAACACTTTAGGGATCAGTTCAACTGGCCTCGAGCCGCTCTTCGGTTATCCACGATCTCCAGTCATCCTGAATGGCAAATAGACGTAAGTCCCCCTAGTCTTAATGAAATCTGAAACGAGGGCGAGCTGCAGGTCCTGATAGACTGACCCCTGAGATGTTTAAGGATGGTGGCCTAGTTTTAACGGTTAAACTGACCGAGATCCTAGGTAGAATCTGGAAAATGGACGTAATCCCATCCGACTGGTCTCAATCACTGATTGTCCCAATCTACAAGAAAGGACAAAAGTCTTCTTGTGACAATCACAGGGGAATAAGTCTAACTAATATAGTATCTAAAATATTGGCCTCAGTAATACTTCGACGCTTAACGAAAGCTGGTGAAGAGCAGACTCGAGAAAACCAGGCTGGTTTTCGACCTGGACGTGGTTGTATAGACCACGTCTTCACACTACGACAGGTCCTGGAACATAGACACACATTTAGGCGTCCTACAATAGTTGTTTTCCTGGACCTTAAGGCGGCAATTGACTCTGTGGATCGTGAAGTTCTGTGGCAGTGTCTGTCATTGAAAGGTGTACCAAAGAAGTACATTAACCTTATACATAACCTTATATACTCGAACACCACTGGTTGGGTGAGAGCATATGGCGAACTGTCATCTGAATTCTCTACATCAAGTGGCGTCCGTCAGGGCTGTCCACTCTCTCCATTCGTGTTTAACTTTGTCGTAGACATCCTCTTAGAGTTAAAATTAAGCTCGTCAGATTTTTCAGGGGTTGACCTTCTACCAGGAAAGTCGCTTACTGATCTAGAATATGCCGATGACATTGTCCTACTTGGTGAAGACGCTGACAAAATGCAGAGTCTTCTGACCACCCTAAGCAACAATGCAAGCATGTTCTTGATGCGGTTCTCACCGTCGAAATGCAAAATGCTGCTTCAAGATTGGCTTTCAACTTCAACGGTACTAGTGATAGGGAGTGAAGTAGTCGAGCGTGTTGATCACTTCACTTATCTGGGGAGTCTCATCAGTGCTGACGTCCTGGTTACTGGCGAAATATAAGCATGGATACAGAAGGCTCGATTGGCTTTTGCCAAACTGCATTGAAGCTTCATCAGTTGAGGTGGTTGGGATATGTGTTGCGTATGCCTAATCACCGACTTCCTCGAAGAGCTTTGTTTTGTGGTGTAGGAGAAGGTTGGAAGAAAGTTACGGGCGGCCAAACCAAAACATGGCAGAAATCCATGAAATCATTGACGAGTGGACTTAGCCATGTCAGTAATTGTCGACTACCTGGTTGGGGTCCAATGGTTAGAGACCTTGAATGACATGGCTCAAAATCGTTCGCAATGGCGCCGGTGCATTTATTCTTTGTGTTCTCTCAAATCCTAATCTTCTGGATTCTTCAACTCCTCTAGTTTTTACTTTCTAAACTTATCTCATTGAATCATACTTCGTGAATAATATCTTCTAATTCTAACCTCTCCGATTACTTCTAATACCTTTACTACCTCTTCTACTATTGGATTTGAATTGATAATTAAATGTCTGTGCTGGTGTTGTATAGCGACATGAACTGATGTACTTACGTACGAAGCTCTACGTTGCATCTGACTGACTGATTTTGAAAATGTCAAGTTCTAACTATTTTTCGGTGTATTCTTCTGCCGAATTTTCGACTGTCATCCAGGTATCATGTATTTTGAATTGTAGATAAAAACAATTTAGATTTTCTACAAAAGTCAAGTAATCATTCAGTTGGCTTTAGTAATTTTTTCACGCCAATCAACCCATATTTCTATGAAACCAATAATGAGTTCAATCATAGCGGATATCATAACTGTAGAGTTATACAACCCATCATAGCAACTGATAATCGTATGTGTAATAATAATAGTCCACCGTTTTTCGAAAGACGTCGTTCAGCTTCTGGGTAAGCATTTTTCCAACAATTATTATGTAATCTAAACCTCAGATTTGTTTCATTGAATGTAATTTCTCGAAATTGTCACTTTTCGTTCATGATTCCGTCAACTCGAATCACCTAAAACAGCAATTTTTACTTTTCAGTGCAAGGAATGTAGAGGATATTTTTTGCAAACCGCCTTAATTCATCACTTATCTAAAGCTAAGCAAGTTGAAATGGAGTTAAAAATGTTACGTTCTAAACAAGTTATTTTGTATCAATCATAAAAGCTTATGCAAATTCAATCCTACATGACTAAAATCATGTTATGCGAAACAAGTTGCGAATAAGTTTGTTTTACCATCGGTTTCTGAATTACGGAGCTATCTCTTGAAGCAAACTTTTCTAACATTGAATAGTGTCGTTTTCTTTTGCAGCAATAGGTGTTGGCGATATGATACTATGAGAAGCAGCTTGCTCATACTCTGAGTTAACTTTGAAGTTTGAAGAGGGGACTGTCTTATTCATCTAACAATAAGACAATAGTTAACTTTGTCTTCGTAATCTGTCACACTTCAGTTAGTTGGAGTTCTCCTTTTTATCCCTCCATATAATACATAAGTTGGATGATTTTGTTTAGAAGATTGACCAGTATTTTGGTGTTATTGAGCTCTTTGAAGTAGATAATGTAATTACGAAGGTTTTATTCTAGATTTGTTCTAGATAACGATATCAGCACTCGCTTCATTGTTATGAAGGAATGTGTGGACAGTAAGCAATTGATTACAAGATTTTTGTGGCTCTTTGTCACAGGTGTATTTGTTAATGGTAAATCTTTTTTTACTTGTAATAGATTTACTGTAATGATCGATCAAGATTCTTACGTTTAGATTGCAGTGAGAGGATAGGTAAACGGCTTATGTGGTCACAATTTGTATTACTTTGAATGAAGAATAATTGTGATTGGAAATGTTCATAATTCGGGCATTGTTATTCAATGCTGTTGTAATTAATTTAGTATTGTAGTTATATAGGAGGAATTGTTATCATATTAACCTTTTTAAACTGGTTTTCAAGCCATTGTGTTATTTTCGAAAAGTCTGAAACATATAGGCTCATTCCAGATTGCCTTGATCTCTCACTTATGAGTCTTAAACCTAGCTACATACCAATTTCATTTTATGAAATATTATATATTACTAATTTTCTTCTATTTATTTTGATGTATATCCTAGACCGGTTGCCTTTTTTACTCGATATACTAAAACTGATGACCGGCTCGTAAATAATACTGATGAAAGTTTACTCGACGTGACACTCAACGGATTACTCTATATGATTTGCGACCCATTCATTTTGTCACCAACATCTGGTTATAATCAGCATTATTCTGGAAGATCTCTGTCTACTACAACCCCTCCCATTGCTTATTTTAACTCAGATATTACTGAAAGCTTCTATTCTTTAAAGGTTACTGGGAATTCAACTGTTGAAAATGTCCTGTTGTCAGCATTTCGTCTTATAGCCTCCTTTTGTTTTTGGGGCATTGAGCCTGATATTGACGATGCAAAGGCGAATTGTTTAAGTCCTCTCAATCCCATATCATCGTGTCATTATTTTGGAAAAATATCTTGTTCTACTGCACATTGTACCTCACAGTTCAGTTCGGGTTATGGTAAACATAAACATGCAGTGAAAAATGCTACCAACTCATCATCATTATCCGGACAAAATGAATCTGATTTCCATCATGTTTTCTCAGGTGATTCTGTGTGTCCTGCTGACAAGCGCAAGTCTAAATTTTCAATTAAAAACACACGACGTATACAAAGCGCCGATCGCCGTCGCAATCATAAATACAATATTTTAAATTGTCCTGTTTGTGTAAATATGGGTCTTGACTATGTCCATCCATGTGAAAAGTTTCCTGACCACCAAGTTGAATTCGGGGTAAGAACCTTATAACAAACAGTCTTATTTTGTATCCATCAGTTCTTGTCTTACAATTTTCTGCAAGTAATTAATCAATATTTAGATTGTTTGGATTTAACACTAAGTTGTAAAGGTTCAAATCTTCCGCTGTTAATGTTAAGGACTTTAATCAGCCAGTTTCATTTGAGATATGTTAATTTTGAGTGGATTGTCTCGATATCGCCATTAATCACAAGCATCTTCAAGCGAACCTGGATTACTGACGACTTAGTGGCAATATTGAACATCAACATTGGAATCCAGCCAACAAGTCACAAAGGATGAAGAGCACCTCCTATTCCACTGCTAGCGACTATATAACTTACGTTGTTAAACATCATGCACTTAGGCGAAATAGTTTTATTACCTGACTTTGCCGATATAACATCTGGTCACAATGTCAGATATCCTGGAATAATAACTGAATCCACTTTAAAGTGTGCATTTTTGGTATTCTGTTTTGAATGACTTTTTTTTCAGATATTGTTGATCATTTGGACATCCAAGATACTCTTCCCAAGTATTATGTACATGTCTAAAAATTTTTGGGGTGCATATATTTTGCATAGTTGAACATCTAAATGAGCTACTGTTTTCATTTGTTCAAATATTAGGTTATACCATTGTGTTTGTGTAACTTTTCCATGTTCGTGTATAGGATCCCCACTCTCCATTTCTTGGTATGCTGGCAGGAAGTGGAAGGCGTCCTAATCCATCTACAAATGGGAAGGAAGTAAATCATTCCATTTTTCCAATCATTCCATCACCTAAAGTGATTTCAAGTGATAAGGGAGAGAACCACTTAAAATTTCAACATGATTTAGTCAAAGTTGTCAATCAAAAAATAAATGAGCGACAACAACAAATTAAACTCAACAAGCACACTGACAATAATAGCAATAATTCACATCAATATACCCATTGTAGTTTATGTAATAACAGTCAAATGGAAATAGTTGAGAAAAATGAATCCACAGGTAAATCAAATGATACATTTCACCGTCCTCATCTTTCTGTTTGCATTGATTGTTGTCAAAATCGCACACAAAATAACGACTTAGATGTAGCCACTTCTAGGACAACACTACCATACCGACCATTCTCTTCACATTTAGCACAAAGGTGGTCATTTGAGCATAGTAAAGAGTCACATAGTGATATACACTCTTCATTGTCATCATGTCGAAAATTGTCAACTGATAGTCACTCGAGTATGATTTTGGATTGCTTAAGGTCAGTAGATAAACATTCAGTTTCTGAGTATTCTGGTCATTCAATCGAAAAAAATTCTACTAGCCAGTTTTCTCATCCTATTGTATCAATGAATCCTGTTGGTATGTCACGTGACGCATACTTAAAGGTGAGCTTCTTTTCTTGTAGACAGTATTTGTCGTTTATACAGCGTTTCATAGGGAGTTTCGAAGACATTTTTATGACCAAATAATCAAAAGCTATCAAATAGTGGTAGCATCTATTGTTTATGAGTTTTCTTGTTTGAGAAATATAAATTACATTATAGGGTTGTGGAGATTATTAAGTTACTCATTGAAATCATGAATCGATCAATGTTAGACTACCATTACAATCCTGCGAGGTGCGTTAGTCGTGGATGTGCAATGCTCATGAGTCCCGTACCAGGACGAAATGGCCATCCAGTGCTTCCAGGTTTCTATTGGTGGTCTAACATTGATAGATTCATGATTTCACTGAGTAAATATAAACTAATAGTTGTTTTTTGGGGTTTATTCACTTTGAACTTTGCTTGTGAAAGTATATCTTTTCAGCGGGGTTGAATGTTTCTCATGTTAGCATTTGAAATCAATCTTGTTAAAACTCATCTAAGTTTTTAACATATTTTGGACCTCATTTGTGTTAGACACCTTTACTTTAGGTATGAAATAAGCTAAGAAGTTGACATGCTACGATACAAGTAACTGTCATCACAGAATCAGTATGTTTTGTTTCTCGTTATCTAGTAGTTTTTTAAAATTAACGATACCCGATCTCGGGATTTTCTTAGGAACGAAAGGAACCCGACAAAATTTGATAGTACTACACTTCCCAGTGTAAAATATTCGATTAGTTCTTGTCTGAAAGCACATTTACACAGAAAGCTCAATATGATAGTCCAAGTTTTTCACTTGTTATCTTTGTTTATTTACACAAATTTACTTTACAGGCAACACAAGACGGCTTTCTTAATCGAACCACTTATGAAACATCTGGAGATTCAGAATTTCGTTACCCCTATTCAAACCGAACACCTCAATCCCGTTCTCTGCAACTTTCTAACGATTATCAATCTTCTAATTTTGGTGCATATCCACATATTCATGCATCGGTTCTTGAGAGTGATTCAAAATCTGCATCTGAATCCGAGTTTAGGCACTATGATGATTCATATCGATTAGATTATTCCAGTCTTATTTTACATTCTTCGGCTCCACCATCAAAACACCCTGAACCTAGTCAAAACCTTTATTCACCGTCCAAAGTACATTTGAATGTCTCAGAAAAGTCCCGAAAACATAGTGGCTTCTCAAACAATCTCAATGTAAATATTCATACCTGTCGAGATGATGATGATCGTATAACTCTTGTACCAGTTGAATCTGAGATACTAAGTAGTGTAATTCAACAATATTCAGATAATATAGGAAAAGGAGAGGTTAGTTTAGTATACTTTTTTGCTTCTGTCGTTCAAACATGCGTTCCCGTTGCTCCTACCATTTAAGATTCTGGATGACGGTTAAAATGGTTGTATCAAGTGTTTTACGTCATTTACATTCCTTACTTAGTTATAATGAATATAGTGTTTTGTTTTATACATGCTGATGTTGTTTCCTATTAGACCTTACTTGTGCAAAATTTTTTAAATATCCCCACAGTTATATTGTTTCTGATCGGCACCCTTTATTCGTTCGTCGAATGTTGTGAAAGGATGGTTTAATATGATATACAGATTAGGGTCATTTGTATTAAATATCTAATCAGTCATCCCCACGTATGTTGTACAGTTTATACAGTAAGACAAAAGCACATTGCATCCAATTATTAATAAATATATACTGTAGTGTTTAAAATACCATATGATATTAAGGATTTCCATTTCTCATAATTGCTGTTCAGGACTGCAGTACATGTAAGTCTTGAGCGAATCACCTCGAGCTTTCCATGCACTTAAGCTTTAATGAAATTCGATTATGGTTCTTTTGTCTATACCAGTAAGAAAAGATTATTAGTCTTTTGCGAACAGCAAGGTGTTTACCCTTAATCATTCTTAACTTAAATTAGATATGCGTGAATGGCTCAGCAAACTTTTAAATATAGTCGTAAAAGGTGTTTAGGCCTTAACTTATTATCTAGGTACTTAAATAAATAAACTGACAGGATGCAAGGAGTCAGTTCGGAAGATCAGACAGTAATCAGATTTCCTCAATGAGAATAATGTATTTGTGCTTACTTCTCGAATATTTCCTGTTTCTCAAATATCTCTTTCTTCAAATACTTTTAGACCTTAGACGGAAATTGTGATGGTAACTTGACTTCCAGAACGACCGTAAAGAAAGCTCTTCATCGAAGTCAAGCAATTCGTGAACGACACAGACCTACGTTTCTGACCCTCTTCCGAAACAGATCACTTCCTAGCTGTGTGGACAATGATAGCTTATCACTGGAGTCTTGCTCATTTCTCCATTGTCCTTCAGAAAATAGTGCCAATAAGGAGTCCGATTTTCCTCTCAAGACGGAGAGCTGCAAAAGTCCTTCTGGTCCGTTTGTTTCACTACATTCTACATTCATTTGATCTTTTTCTGTTTCATCATGTTCATTCTCCAGGTCTGTCAAGAAATAACACATGTTCTCTGTGATTTCTATCAGTCATATTTTAGTTCTTTAGGTCAGATGCATTTATCATTGTTTTTAGGTCATTTTTAAAGGCTAATCTTACAACTTATCTATCTAGCACACAGTTTGCTTAATGCTGAATCCGCATTTTTTTCACGCACTGATAATATCCGTCTTATTTATATTGAATGTGCTTCAAAATCACACTCTTGAAAACAATTGCCTATTCGGAAATTCTTACATGTTATTTGGGTAGTGTTTTCTGCATTGAAAATCTGTGTAATATGTTAAATTTTTATTAACTAAAATGAATTTTCTTTCGAGTCTTTCGATGCGTCGTGCTGCTAGCGCAACAACCATTATTTCTTATTTATTTGTGTGTATATATAATTTGACCTGTTTCTCATTTTTGAATTCTATTCTCGTGAATTTTTTCGCCGGTTAATGAAATGAAACTTACTTATTTAAATTCTTGTACCAAAGGTAAAGCGATTTGTTAACACCTAAAGTCTGTCTGTCTAATAAGTCAGTCATTGACAAAATAAGGATGTACATAAATAGACACATCTGTATTCTTTAGTATTCGAAACATATAATTGTACAATTATTTTATTTCTTTAAACATGTCTTGCAAACCTTGTCTTGAGGTTTGCATATACGATCAGATGCACAGCTCTCTCGTTTATACGATTGAAAAATCACCGGTAAAACTTCTGTTCTTCTATTAACTGCGAGTTTTACCCTTTCAAGGCAGTGTTGCTGATAGTGAGGAGAGAATCCAGTCACTTTGTGAGTAGTGCGCAAATGAAATATGATCAGTTTTATGGATGAGTTGATAAACTGGTCCTGTATTTTGAAATATTGACATGGATTCTGTAGTTGATAATCCACTACAACACAACTCTAATCACTTTGTTAGATTGAAAATGTATAGAAAAACAAGACACTATGGAAACATGATTTTAACAATTGAATGTAACAAAATTATGACATTACTTTTTAGAAAATATCTAGCGAAACTTGTCAGTAGGAATGTATTTGTACACTTATGCTAACAAAGTAATAATTATTTGTACTGAAGTGGTGAAATGAACTCAAACGTTCATATAGGAGGACAACCATCTGGATACTGAAGGCTGAAGGTGATGTCAAACATTTTGGAATACAAAACTGAGTGTGCTGCACTTGCGCATTCCATCGGATGCGTGATGGATGAACAAAATTCTAAAATCGAGCCGTCATACATAGAAATATCAAAGAATCGAATAATTACATTGATGATCACAGGTAACGTAAAATAACAGAAAAGACAGAAGAAAAATAACCGCATAAAATTTAATTTGGGGTTGATAGTTAGACGCATTTGTATATTGGATAATCTATGTTTTGTATGGTCTATCAGGCTATTGGTTGCACAATTACATTGTGACGACTGGATGCATTTTGCATTTTCGAAACTTGACATGTAGAAAAGCCTGTTTAAATTGAAAAATTCAAACATGTTGACAGATTTAGCCTTATTACTACAATTGGAAACAAGAATACTTGAAACTAGCATTAAACGGCTATCATTTAAAGCCGTGAAACTCACTTTTGCTTTCAATGCTTACTCAGTTATTTGATCCCGACACTACGTACGTTTCCAGCTGAGACCTTTTGTTCATCTGAGTCTTTGCGAAGTTGAAAAAGCATTAGGAAACCCGGAGAGGGAGAGAAGCAGAGCCTGATAGGCTTACCCCCGAGATTTTGATTGATTGTGGTCCAGCCTGAACAGTCAGATCGACAGAGATATTAGGTAGAATCCGGGAACTGGACGTAATCCTATCCGAATGGTCTCAATACTTAATTGCCCCAATTTATAAGAAAGGACAAAAATACTCTTGTGACAGTAATATGGTATCTGGAATATTGGCCTCAGCAATACTGCGACGCTAGTGAATATCACGTTACAGAAATCTAGGCTGGTTTCAGACCTGGACCTGGTTGTATAGACAACATTTTCTGAACTGAGTCATGTCGGTAGATGTAAGGTACCTGGTTCTGAGTTGTAACTGACTGACTGATTGAACACCAACATTTCCCAAGGTCAGTTGACTCAGTAGATGACTTATGATTCATTCGACAACCACTCTGCTCTACAGATCAACCTACACCTTTAGTAGTATTCCTCGTTAGACACCTTAACATAGAGTCCCACTCATTCAGTCAGTTTTACGTATTACGATAAGCGAAAGATTTCCGATTACGAACTATGATTGATAAATTGTGCTCGACCGAATCCATAGCGCTCTATATATATAATGATTGAACGCCTATTAGAGGAAAAGTAAATAATGGATTTGTTAGTAAACGATTGCCTTCGGTATATTCAACATGAACATTTTGCATTCTGGTTGACTTAGTTTACAACAATGAACATTTTATTCCAATTTTTCATTTTCTGGTCAATGAAACCTACAGATTATCGATAGGCAACTAAAACAGACGTAGTACAGTTAATAATATATGTAATTGATATTAATTTAATTTTGATAAATGACTTAAGGATGCATTGGTGGTGAGAAAATTGATTAACTATTTGGGACACCAAGAACTCAACATTCACATTTTACACTCACTTATTATTTTCCAAACTTTCCTTCTCTTGATTAACATTACGACAGTTAGTTCCGGTCAACTGCTTCGTTTTGCCCTTGACGGTACTTCTTTTCTTTTCATACTTTCCTTTATTACCAATAATAAATGGGTAGGAAATTAATTCCAGTGATTTACAAGTAAAATAATGGTTTTTAAATTGTGTTTGTAATCCATATTTTGAGAACCCTACAAACTTGACAACTTACGGATGGAAATCGAGAAACGGATTGTCGAAAACTTATGATTTGTCCTATGGAATGTTTAGTCGAACTTTCAGTGCATCTATTATTGGTAAGTTAGTTCGTTGGCGTTTTATCCCTACGTTGCATAAAATCAGATGAATAGGTTACTGCCTACTCCTCATTGGGAAGATATATGCAGCAAGCTCCACTCAATTGCTGAATAAACGCTACGAAATATGGAACTATTGTAAGTAGGAACCACGTGGTTAGAACAAGGGCATTCCAAAATCTCAGGGTGATAAGTATTCCGTGAAATGGGAATCGAATCACACAACAATCTTATGAAATAGTGTCACCTAGTGTTAGTACAGAAATGTTTTTCAAAACTCTCATATTTATACCAAAAGGATGCTTATAAGACTGAAAAGATTGATTCCTTCTACTAAAAGAAGAAATAAAGAAATACCACGTGAAAGTATTTGTAGGTTTTTACCGCTTTGCAGCAACCATTCTTACATCGCAAAGAGTGAACATTTCAGTAACCGATTTAAAACTACCAAACACAATTCAAATATTCTAAGTCTACTGCAACAATCCATCTTTCTTTAGGGTGGGTTTTCAACATACTTCTTGTTGTATTGGATGTATGAGAGTCCTTTATTTTCACTTCAGTTATCAAGAAGGAAGTTCTCTGTCACAGGAAATAACATCGTTTCGATGATTCACACTACGGACTTTTATCGAGTTCACTCGGTGGTTCACGGTCGTATGTTCGCATTACATTTTTTCATTTTTTTTTTTTTCATTCCCGACCGAAGCTGCTACCTTGACGTGGTGGTCGGGCTTGCCTATCGTGATGACCCAACCGAGCTTTACTGGCTGGAACATATGTTCCTGCAGGTCCTACCATGCCAGGCAGGTCGATTGGAGAACGATGAGACTAAAAGCAGCTACCCTAGGTCTGAGGGCGAAGTCGTACTGCTGACTGCAGAGGGGTGTGACAGCAGTAAGGTGTTTCCCTCGGACAACCAGCATCTGCAGCGATGCTGCCTTCTCACAAGGATGGAAGGGTTAGAAAAGGTCGGCCCTAAAAATGTCACACTCCCCCTAACTCACGGATTTCCGTCTCCCTGGGTAAAGGTGCCCACTAAGGGCCTTTAAGAACGGAGCTAATCCTCAAAATACCTTTCATAAAAAGGCCGTGCGTGACCGGCCTCAAGCAGTTGTCCCTTGGACTCTGCGGTCACGCACCAACACTAATCCATCTTCCTTTTCAGGTCCCTCAAGAAACAACCTTCCACGGTGTGGGCAGCCGGGAAGTGACAACCGCCCTCACACCCGTACCAGCACGCGAGACCAAATTGGTCAAAATCAAATCCTTCCTACACCCCCTAATGTCTCTCTTATCTCTACGACTAACTCTACTCACACTCCCTTTTCTCACTGCACCGCTAATGCAGACGAAGTGAGATCACGAAACGTCGTTCCTGGTCTCTTGAAACCCCGTTCTATACTACATATTGGAGGTTTTAATGTACGGACATTGTGTCAAATAGGGCAACAGGCATCATTAGCTAGGACTTTAGAATCTCGTGCCATCGATGTATGCTGCGTCTCGGAAACGCGCATACAGGATCCTAGTAAAGTCATTAACCTGATTTCACCTTGTCAAAACGTAGAAGCAGCTCGATTTACTCTTCGTGTATCCGGTAGCCCTGATGCTGCTTCTAGGGGTCTTGCTGGGGTAGGCATAGCGTTGAGTCCTTGGGCAGAATTATCTCTCCTAGACTGGATCCCAGTAGATAGTCGTTTGTGCGCTGTCCGACTAAACGGGACAGTAAGGACTCGTAAGGATAGGGACACTCGCCGTTGCCTCTTCGTCATATCAGCCTACGCCCCCACTGACTGCAGTGCAGACGAGCTTAAAGATGAGTTTTACAGAAAGCTTTCGGACCTCCTCCAAAAAGCTAGGCGCTCTGATATAGTAATAATGGCTGGTGACTTTAATGCTCAAGTAGGTAGACTAGGTGAAAAGGAAAGACATCTTGGTGGATGTTATGGTGTAGCGACTGAGAGAACAGACAATGGAGACCGTCTGTTGCAACTATGCTCAGATAACCGCCTATTCTTAGCGAACACCAACTTTAGGCATAAGGAAAAGCATCTGCTGACCTGGCGACCTCCAAAGTCGTCTCAACGTTGGACTCAACTAGATAATATCGCCATCAGTCACCGATGGAGGGGTTCGATAGAAGACTGTCGCTCGTTCTTCTAAAAAATTCATGTATACGTATGTCAAACGAAGCATTTCATCCAATGGACTATTTCGCTCTATTTCGTGGTCTTCGGTTTCTCGACCATGTTTTTGGGGACATGCTGGCAAATGGATTTCGGTGATATTATGATCATTGTTATAGCTGAAAAGTCATGTTATTAACATTCCAAGAACAGAAAAAACCTATCACATTATAAGGTGCAGTGTGTGATGGCTATTCACGACAACTTCGCTCTCTCATCTATCACCGAAATCTTATTTCTTGACTTACCCGAGAAAAATACAGAAGGCGCTGAAAATGATCTCGTTGGAAAAGCATATCCACTGACGAATGTCTACAATATAAAGTGAAGACTTAGGTGAGGAGTTCTACAATATTACGGCGGAAATGAAGTATCTAAAGTAAATTCACTGATTAGCGTAACTTCACTTTTTGTTTATAGAAAATTCATAACAATGTGCACAGTCACAGAGACAATCATCGAGATAACCTACCATTGGGAATCGTTCTCGAACATCTGATGGTACATTGCTCCAAAGTGTTGGTGTTCTCTGAGAATGCATTCCTATTCTAAGTAGTTCAGAATAATAAAAAACAAGTCTAATGATTAAAATCAGTTGAGTTATCAGTTATTTCGCTGGTTGCTTGTTTATTTACTGTATTTCACACGATTATGGAAAGAGTGCTGCTAGTCTGTGAATGCCACTTTGGGATGTCCAAGCAGAATAAATAGACAGAAATAAAAACAATAGACAGCTCGGTTAATGTCTGTTACCACCGACAAAGTTTTCACTAAACCAAACCAAACCAAAATATTTAAAGTCAATGATTTGAAATCATAGGCAGTAATTACTACGGTTTCCTAAGAATAAAATTGTTCCAACTAAATGAGGTCACATTGATTTTGATTTTCAGAGTTGCCTACTTCAGTAAACTGTATAGTTCTGTAACCTGTGAAACATTACTGTTGAAATTACACGACGTAATTCCAATTTTCGAGCAGTAAATTATCTATGTGGGCGTAAGAAAGCCTTCATGAATTGTCTTTAAGATTGAAACTTAAACCAATGGTCAATAGCAGGATTATTAGCGACCTATTTTCCATCCTTTTGAGGACTAAATGGCATATTTCAAATTCTATCGTCTCATTTTCTCACCGTTATGTTTATCAAAAACTGGATGGAAACAGACTTTAGGTAGATTAAAATCTTTCGCAAAAGTCCCGTGACTTATAAAGAAAAACTGACATTCAAAACCGCAGATGTAACTACAAATCAAAACAATCTTCGTTAGCAGAACGAAATACAATTAACTGAACTGATTTATTGATGACAAAATTAAAACATATTATACTTTTTACCAGGAAATTCGCTTACTGATCTAGAATATGCCGATGACATAGTTTTATTCGGTGAAGACGCTAACAAAATTCAGAGTCTTCTGACTACCCTAAGCAACAATGCAAGCATGTTCGGGATGTGGTTCTCACCGTCGAAATGCAAAATGCTGCTTCAAGATTGGCTTTCAACTTCAACGGAACTAGTGATAGGGAGTGAAGTAGTCGAGCGTGTTTATCACTTCACTTATCTGGGGAGTCTCATCAGTGCTGACGTCCTGGTTACTGGCGAAATATAAGCATGGATACCGAAGGCTAGATTGGCTTTTGCCAACCTGCGTCACTTATGGCGTAGGCGAGATATCCGCCTGCTTACCAAAGGACGAGTGTACTGTTCGGCAATTCACTCCGTCCTACTATACGGATGCGAAACATGGCCTTTAAGAGTAGAGGACTTTCGTAGGTTACTAGTCTTCAATCATCGGTGTCTCCGAAGCATTGCTTGCGTATCCTGGGACAATCGTATAAGCAATGCTATCATTAGGAAACGAGTTCTAGTTAGGGAAGGCAAATCAATGGATGAAGTAGTGAAACGTCATCAGTTGAGGTGGTTGGGACATGTGTTACGTATGCCTAACCACCGACTGCCTCGATGAGCAATGTTTTGTGGTGTGGGAATAGGTTGGAAAAATGCTGGTGGTGACCAAGCCAAAACATGGCACATATCAATGATGTCATTGACAAGTGGACTGAGTCATGTTAGTAGACATAAGGTACCAGGTTGGGGTCTGCGAGACGATAGTAACCGATGGTTAGAGACCCTGAACGACATGGCTCAAAATAGTTTGTAATGGCGCAGGTGGATCAACCCTCTCTAATCAAAACCTTCTCAATTCCTCATCATCTGTATCATTCTACTTCTAAATTTATCTCACTGAATTATACTTCTCGAATCATATCTTCGCTCTCTAATCTTCTCCATCACTGCTAATACTTCTACTATTACTATCACTCTTGGATTTGAACTAACAGTTGCCTCTCTGTGCTGATGTGGTATGGCAACCTGAATTGATGTACTTGCGTTCGAAGTTCTGAGTTGTATCTGTCTGTCGCTACTACAGATCTCACTTGTACCTCAAGCATTGTGGTTACTAGCAACAGAAAAAATAACTTACAATCACATATTTATCTAAACACTCAATTATTCTTTGACCACACTTGAGGTACAAACATACATTGATTCTTACGAATCCAGTTCATACCTATAAATGAAGATGATTAACTTGACCATAACGAGGAACTAATGTCACTGGATTTGAATAAAAATTATTCATATGCCGAAATTTGAACTCATTTTCTCACAATCACACCACAAAAACTGGGTTAAACAAATGAACATGTTTGGATTATTGTTTAAGACCAAATTAATAGTGTGATATTCTCTGTCATTGGTTATTGTTTTACTCTACCCGGTCAAACTTACATCAATGAAATTTCCCTGCATTGTTTAATGATTAAGTCAAAATATGTCTCTGATTCACGTTCAATTTTATCTATGTCTTCTGTAGACCAGTACCGTTTTCTTTTGCATATCTGTTCATAATCTATTAAGAAGGACTTGTGTTGTCGAAGCGAGTTTCTTTTGCACCTCAGTTCTAGTTTGAATGTATGAAGACGGATGAACTTGTAACAAGAAATGAAACAAAATATATAGTTTAAGCATAATATAACTTAAAACAAATCGAATAACTGAAGTTTCGTTACCGTTTTGGAAACAGACTGACAGTGTAAGTGCTTTAATTTTGAGGGTTACTGAACAATCATTCGTTCAACAAATAGTTTGTTAAGTAAATTTCAAAACACTATTTTAGAAGCACATATGGAATTCGTTCACTATACGTGATAGTACAGGTTCAGAAAAGATCAAATGCTTAGATTCAGTAAGACTGCTCTTTAGATTGTTGTCTCCAAAATGGCAGACAGACAGTGTGAAAGAAAATTGTTCATTCTTTAGGCAGGACGCAAAATCAAGAAAATTTATACTATGCAGTAGAACGTACAAAAATGTGTTTTTGTTAATGTCGATCAAAAACCATATCAGTTCAATCAATTATCAGGAGTTCGCTAATCACACAGACAAATTGTTAGGTTCTCATAACCAAAGTGAAGTGACCATATATACTATATTATTATTATTCAGTAAAATTAACTGTTAGTTTTCGATATGTCTAAGAAGCTGTGATTCCGCATATGCAATAATGATTTCCATAACAATGATCACAGACGTTTATTCAAACGTGTGCATTAGTAGACTAAAATGCACCCTTGAAATCGAAGTGGAACATGTGCTGAATCATGATAAGTTATATCTTCATTCCATTCATTTGGTCATTATGCTTTTCAGACGATAATCGAAGAGGAGTTGTTCGCGCTTGTAATGTATGGTCTGCGATCTTAGCACCAGTTATAAAATGACCATTTCGAAGTAATAAAGGTCATTACAATGTTTAGACACCCAAGTCAATTATGATGGTTATTTTCAAACCTATATTCATAGGGAGAAAAATTATCTTTTGATAAAAGATTAAAAACTAGCTGACAGTTGGTCATAACAGTTTTGAAGTTTCCATTAACATCAAGTGTGATGTTAAGTGAGAGGATTCTTGATGAGCATCTTTGTATCAGAAGCTAATAACACTTAAATGATAGAATAGCTTTAGGATATTTTTCAGAAAGCCTGTACTTGAACTTCCCTTTTTACAGCAACATATTTATACCGATCGATGAATCATAAGTGTACATAACCTTCCTTGAACGCTTGTATTGAAAATAACTTCTGTTAATGACTAATATCAACTGGAAAATCACTAAAAACAAGAAGTTTGCAGATTCATTTCATCCAAGCTTAAGACATTTCACGGACGATAACATACTGGACGAAACCAAGGACTCTCAGGTTCTACTCAATACCAATGAAAACATTTGAATGCGAATACACAAATAATTGGCAAAGATTTGTTGATAAATACATTTACTTATAAATAAGGTAGAGACGTAAAAAGTTTTTAAAATATTTGTACCAGATCCCTTTGGAATTCTTTTATCGTTTTCTTTTCGAAAGTAAGTAAATTCTGATAATGGAGACAATTGTCAAAATGCTTGATGTCACGTCTAAATAAATTACAGTTGTTATATTGGTCAGCTTCTACTTCAAAAAGTTCGTCGGCCAAGCTTTTCTGATTGATAGTTGTAGCTGGTGACTGGGTTCCGATCGGCAACTGCTCGTTGATTGACCGTAGTGCCACAGTATTCGAATCGTTATAACCACGGTTCGGATTATTTATTATTAATTTAGACCTGTTTAAATTGAAACCAAGTATGAGATATTGGTAAAATTACTCACCACAACTAAAGTCTAATGAAAAGAAAGACTTACCAATTCAAGTCAGTCAGAACGTAGAATTTCATAGCACTGACTATAATTAGGTTTTAGACAACACTTCATTCTGTAACTATAGTCAGTCAGTCAGTTACAACGTAGAACTTCGTACGTACGTACATCAATGCATGTTGCCATACTACATTAGCACAGAGATGTAATTGTCAATTCAAATCCCTTAGTAGTAGGGGTAGTAAAAGCATTAACTGTAATCGGAAATTTTAGGGTTCGAAGATATTATTCAAGAAGTAGAATCTAGTGCAATAAACTTAAAAAGAAAAAGGCGATGAGGAATCCAGGTTGGGATTTGACAAAACATGGATGCACCTGCGCCATTGCAAACGGTTTTGAGCCATGTCATTCAAAATCTCTAACCATCGATTACTATCATCTCACGAGCCTCCATTAGGTAGTCTACACTTACTTGCCAGTGATTTGTTGGATTTGTGCCATGTTTTGGTTTGGCCACTCCTAGCTTTCTCCCAACATATTCCTACATTACAAAACATGGCTCGTTGAGGCAGTCGGTGGTTAGGCATATGTAACACATAACCCAACCACCTCTACTGATGAAGTTTCACTACTTCAACTATTGATCTGCCACCATTACCTAGGATCCGTTTCCAAACGACAACATTGCTTATTCGGTTGTCCCACGAGACACGAGCGATGCTTCGGAGAAACCAAAGATATAGTACTAGTAACCTAAGAATATCATATATTATTAATGGCCTTGTTCCAAACTCGTGAAATGGGACGTAGCGAATGTCTGATATCATGTTGACGAGTTTAGTGGAACACATTGATGCCCAGTATGTAGACTATCCAGAAGTAGGATCCATTTGATGCTTATCAAGGAGGGTGCGTACGCATCTCCGATTTCAGGTTATCTCCTGGATACAAACTCACCAACTTTGATTTCCAACAACTGATGCGCTGTTCACTTAGCTACTAAGTCGCGATAGTCACACACAAATTTGAAGAGAATATGAATTTTAATTTGGTTCGCAATGGCATAGTCATCTCATTGTTGATATTCAGTCGAAATCAACAGCGGAATAGCGCTAATCGTTAAAATTTTTATTGATAAGCATTTAGATATAAATTTCTCGATAACTGATTTCCAACAAGAGTATGACTAGGTTTACTGTTGGTTGATCACTAGGTAGTGACCAATGTCGTGTGTCAGGTCTTGCTCGGTGCTGGTCGAATCGTATCGATGAAGTTGCGATGCGGTTAATTATCCAGGGGAACTCCTCAAGATCAAACGTACACACTGCTGATGAATGCCAGAAAGCACAAAACCTAGGTCTGGAGTTTCCTGTCGACTACCTTCAACCAGCATGTTACGTGCGACTAAATACTTAACACCGGTGTACATTTATTGCATTAGTTTGCAACTGGCAGATTGAGCACCTCTTTTGTCTAGTATTCTAATTTATAAGTGGTCCGAATTTTTTCACTAAGTGTCCGTGTTAAATTTCTCTACATAATTGTTTAGCGTGAACCAAGTGTAGAACACCTATTTAAACGTCATTTTGCTATTTTCATTCATTTATCAGAAATTGGTATACCGACCACATAGTGCGTGTTCAAACCTTTTAGTTAGAAAATAGAAAAGTCAACCAACATCTATGTGAATCATTTAACCGTATTTAGTAAAATCAAAGTCGAATCAAATTAGAAAACAAGTACGTAGCTGGGTGATTTCAGTTAGTGATGGTGATGCCTTCTTAATGACTTGTTTTCTATCGCCTTTATAAAACAGTGACTTCGTTACTTAATTTCCGATCACCTACGCCTTTTAAACACTCCTTATTGACTCGAAAACATTTTATTCAGCAAGTTGATGGAATTAGTAATGATAAATATTTTACCGGAGATATATCCTCAACGTGATAACTTTTGCCATATTAAGGATGACTTGAACATAAAACTGAAGAGCTTCATTTTTTCTGTCGAAAATCTAGGTAAATACAGGCTTTTTAAATACAAATACGGAAACTTATTTATTAATAATGAAACTAACCCCTCATGCGATAGAATAGGTCGCTTATTTTCTTCAGCTTCATCAAAGTTCGAACTGAATATCTGCATTAGATTGATCTGCAGCCGTCAAAACATTTGCTACATTTAACCTACGTTATGCTCAATATCCTCTACTTTTGCACGAAGTTCACAAAGTTCAGATGTTGCCTGCAGTATGTTAATTTTCAAACAAATCGAGACTTACCGTAGATATTTCGTGAAACTTTTTAGTTACCTGCTCTTCATTTCTACTCAATAAGTTCTATAAGAGATTAAGCTAAAATATTGTCGAAGATAACAAACCTCACAATCATGAATTATATTGATAAGATCTGCGATCTGTTCATCCCTTTTTGTTAGTTGTTTCTCCAGCTTAATTATCTGCAAGTGTAAACATATAACTCATCATTTGCGTAACTAGACCGAACGAACCGAACATTATCTGAAAAAATTAACTATTCCAAAGCGAGAAACATTATGTCGGACAAAGTGTACGTCCTGATCATCAACTTGACGAATAACAACTGCACACGATGATAGACTAAAGGACAACAATAGCCAACCAAGATTGTGACCGACAGCATAAGCTGTTAGTCACATGTGCAGAAATTCTAATATTTCGCTCTAACCTGACGTTTGGACTGAATGTGTTGACCGGAAGAACAATGCAACGTCCACAAATGAACCATCAAGATCAGCGTATGAAACTTCACCATAACCACTAGACTGCCTCCAACCTATTCCTATGCAGGCCAACATTGAGCATGGAAGTAGAAGGTAATCAGGCGTACTTACTTACAAAAGCTCTAACACCATCAGTAGATAAACAATCAAAATTTTATCAACTGATTCGCCCCCTCTGCCTTGTACCCTGTGTTTGATCACGGAAATCAAAACAATAATGTCTTCATTCCATAGTGTATTCAAGTACTACATTGTATCCAAGCTGAATCCCAGTCAAAGTTTTTAGTGATTAGGCGCTATTATTTGTCGTCTACATAAGGAGAATGCCGAGAACACTCCAAATAAAATTAAAACCATCAAATGTAAAACGAGAGTTTCCTATACTTATTTAGCAATAATAAGCGACTCTATAATCACCACCGATTAGAAATGAATTCGCCTCAGTGGCATCTCATCCTCAGATCATAATGTGGAACCTAGCAGTTCGGGATATTTTTAAAAGCTTCTATCGAAATGACAGTCCCCTAAACTCATGTGGCGAACTACAGCTTAATAAATACTTATCGAGTAATGTCAGGCGATTGAAGGAATCACATTTTTGTACTCAGTAAAACTTTCATAACCTTTAATTCATCACAGATATAAAGCAGAAATGTACCCGTAGTCTACAGGTTTCCTTTGCTGTAATTGTTTTGCTTCTCCGGTTGTTTGAGATAAACACTAGAGTATTATGGCTTTTATGTAATATTTTTAATTAAGCGACACTTTCTGAATTCCCACGATCCAATTTTTCTCATGATTTTGAACATGTTTTCGCAAAACTTATAATAATCACATTATAACGCCATGTCTTTGTCTAATTCAGTGGTCAGGAGGTATAACATGAAAAAAGTAAACCAAAATGACCTTGTTATTTAACATTGTTTCTTTAGCTTCGAACATCACCGCCTCAGCCTCTAATTGTAAACTGCGACGCTTTTGTGCCTCTAGTAAACTTTCCAAGGCATATTTAGATATCTCTTCCTTTTCCAAATATTCCAACAGTTCATCTCTTTCCCCTTTAACTTCTGAAAAACTAAAAAGAACTTGCTGTGAATTGGATTTAAAATCGTTTACTATATTATTACGCTTTAAATTACAAAAGATATAAAGTGAGTTTTGACTAGACAGTAAATATCCACTGAATCGTGGTGTGAAACAGGGGTTCAAGACATTTTACTGTAGGCTTAGATGGCGGTTGAATATGTCAATGGGAAGTCTATAGGGAATGATTAATATCAAAATGATGAACTCAGTATCATACACGAGAGCTATAAACTGGCAGAAAAAGACGACGACGCAGTTACACGCGAAGAGGAATGTTATTGATTTAAACTAGTATAAAACCCTCCAAGTTTTTATATTAACAATAAAATTACACCGAACACCTTAAACACGAGCGTTTTTACCTCCTCAGTCTGAGCCATGATCTTTGCAAATTGAGTATTCTTAATCAGCAGACAAAATAACTTATGAAAATGGTCAGAAGATTTGAAAGTCTGGACGGTTAGACAAACAGAGATAAGTGAGATAACTTAGAAATACAGAACTGTAATAAAATTACATTTAGGTGTACAAAATGATATGGAGTTAGCAAGAACATGAACATGGAATGAATTCCTGGCCATTGATGTGTCCTTTACACGTGCTAATACGCAGATGACATTTCAGAAACCAATATACAATAAGGATGGAAGACTTGAGTACTCTATGGTTGAACGATAGCTCAATGCTAACTTGCCCAAATCAACGAGGAAGAACAAAGACCAGTGACCAGCAATCTAAGGTGTTGCTTTGCATTCCAGACATTCTTTTATATACACACTCGACCAGACCGAATTGCACCGATAAATAGAAGTTAACAACTATACATGAGTGGACCAAAAATGGCTGTGAGTGAGGGAGACTTCGAATCATAAACTAGTAGCATATTAAGAACAATAAACCATGTAAAGTTAATAAGTACTAATCCATAAACTAGGTTTTTGAGTTACTACTTACTTCAGTCCTCATCCAGATATTACAGTCATAATCTTCTGTCTGAATGAAGACAGTTGACCTAAATACATGAATCGAAAGTGATTTTGATTTGCGAAAGAGCAAACTAGATTCCAGTGGAGGAAGAAGCTCTGGAAGTGGATAGGACAAACATTGTGGACAGCACCCAGCTGCCTCACAAGACAAGCCCTCACTCGAAACCCTCAAGGTCAGCGGAAAAGATGAAGGGCAAGAAACACGTTACGCCGAGAAATGGAGGCAGAAGTGACAAAAATGAAAGAAAATTGGTCACAACTGGAAAGAGAGGCCCAGGACAGAGTAGGTTGGAGAATACTGGTGGGCGACCCATGCCCCATTGAGGGTAACAGGCGTAAGTAGGCAAGTATTGATTTTGAGTTATGGCTACCAATGAAGTCTAGGGAACAGTGCTCTTCCCGTAAGTGACTCTTTGGTCGAATATACTTGTGTTTCAGTATTGAATTTCATATGGAAACTCGAAACTAATGCCTGGCTTTACAAAATGATACCATTTATATAACTTCGTACCTCTTAAAAAGTCAAATTCTGGTGCATAGACTACCAATCTTGAATTCCTAAACAGGATACTACCCTTCGATATTAGGCTGTATCGTTATACTTTTCATCATAGAACTATGGAGATTGCTGTTTTACATTGAAATCGTGAATCATAATAATGTAAAATGAACGAGCTATTGCGTGGCGAGTAAGATTTAATCCAAATTTGTTTAGATTCAAAACAAACACCGAGTGTCCACCACATTCATACAATTAGCTACCCTGGGAAATTTTATCAATAAGGGCAAGAATAACAGGACAATTTAAATACCCTTTGAACAAAGCTTTCAACAGTGAGCAGCTTGGAGCTACGGAAAACAGCATAACCGGAAACAAAAGTTTGGCACACTTTATTCGACAAAGCTGAAATATATGGCCGTAAAAACCGAAGACCATGATTGGGGAAATAAGACACAGGGTATAGTACCAAATATATTTAGGACTAAACCGTAGTTATATATTATATATTATCCATCATTGAAAGTGGTGTGATAGTTGTCGCTATTCATGGTGAAATCAGTAATCGATTCCATGCTTATTTGTGGTGATCAAAACTGGAACATTTTGAAGGCTAAAGTTGGCGGATAAACAAGAAGCAAGACAATTTAGTATGGGTTGAAACGTTCAGTGTGAATAATTTTCCAACACACTTTTAGACAAACGGTAAATATGTTAGCTGCTTCCATCTTTAATTTGCCATACGTAATAAGAACCTTGTGGCGGTTTGGCTGCGACCACAGAAATAAGAAAGCACAACAAACGACAAAACCTACACATATTTACGAACGCACATATCTCTCGGCAAAGGTATCGTTGTGTCAGTCAGTCAGCTACAATTTAGAACTTCGTACGTATGTACATTTGTACAAGTTGCCATAGCACATTAGCACGGAGATCGAATTGTCAATTTAAATCCCATACTGGTAGTATTACTATGTTTGTAACAACTAATTTTCCGACGCCTACCTATACACTGTATTCCATTTCCTCTAAATTCGTCATAACCCCGATCAATCAATCACATAATCTCATCTGGTATGAAAAAGAAAGCCCATTATTAGCACATTGCAACATTTTAATGCAGGTATAATGCAAGTGTGATCCAAACTAACACACTACCTTTCCGAACAAGGATTGGAACTCCATGTTGATTAGGCCTCGAGAGTACCATGATCATCTACCCTTTACTGTAGTATTACAGTTAAAATATACACCGTTATTCAAAATACCGTAGTAAAAATAAGTCAAGTGACTCAAAATCAGGGTATGAAATTCGATTTCTAAACTTAACTGTCGAGCCTACTCACAGCCCTAAAACAAGGATAAATGAGTGACAGTAATCTGATGAGATGGAAGTGATAAACAAACGTTATCTAAAAATATCAACAAATAATTGACATCGAATAAATATCCCATATACACGACAACATAAACCATATCTTCTAAAACTATACCTGTGAAGCTTCTGACTCAGATGATTCTCTTTTGCTGAGCATTCTTTGATGTGATCTTCTGCCGACTGCAATTGGAGAATCAACGAAGCATTTTCTTCTTCTAACAATTTTTTGTCATGCTTCAACTGATAGTATTTTTCTAGAATAGAACTAGGATTGTGTGAGAAATTGGGTTTATGTAGTTAACCATACTGTTTAGGAACTTCATCGTAGTTTATGTTTGCACGCAACATATTGTTAATCAATAGCGCGCGGAAACCGAGTTGTCATGTAAACATGGTGCGTTTCAATATTCGTTTTTGTCTATAAGAATGTCAAGTAAGACAATTAAAAAGTCACTTTCTACATCGTTCGCAATCAAACACATGATTTCGCGCTACTGGTGAAAATTTTTTCCTATATTCATTTCGTTACATCACATGCAGGAAGTTAACATGTGCTACGTTGAGTTAATTAATGGTGTACTGAAGAAAATCGCTAGTTATTTTTACTATCATTTCTTGTTCCTTAAGCGATCTTAGAAGTTTTCAGTCAGTTCTGTGGTAAAGGTATAATGAACCAAATCCTTTTTCGATGTAAGCAATCTACAGCCAAACATACTACTGACGATGTAAAAGAATTTTCAGAGTTGTAAAACAGTCATACCACAACACCTAACGGTTTCATTAACACATTCATCTGATTTTATGCAACATGGGGATAAAACGCCAAAGAACTAACTTACCAATAATAGATGCACTGAAAGTTCGACTAAACATTCCATAGGACAAATCATAAGTTTTCGACAATCCGTTTCTCGATTTCCATCCGTAAGTTGTCAAGTTTGTAGGGTTCTCAAAATATGGATTACAAACACAATTTAAAAACCATTATTTTACTTGTAAATCACTGGAATTAATTTCCTACCCATTTATTATTGGTAATAAAGGAAAGTATGAAAAGAAAAGAAGTACCGTCAAGGGCAAAACGAAGCAGTTGACCGGAACTAACTGTCGTAATGTTAATCAAGAGAAGGAAAGTTTGGAAAATAATAAGTGAGTGTAAAATGTGAATGTTGAGTTCTTGGTGTCCCAAATAGTTAATCAATTTTCTCACCACCAATGCATCCTTAAGTCATTTATCAAAATTAAATTAATATCAATTACATATATTATTAACTGTACTACGTCTGTTTTAGTTGCCTATCGATAATCTGTAGGTTTCATTGACCAGAAAATGAAAAATTGGAATAAAATGTTCATTGTTGTAAACTAAGTCAACCAGAATGCAAAATGTTCATGTTGAATATACCGAAGGCAATCGTTTACTAACAAATCCATTATTTACTTTTCCTCTAATAGGCGTTCAATCATTATATATATAGAGCGCTATGGATTCGGTCGAGCACAATTTATCAATCATAGTTCGTAATCGGAAATCTTTCGCTTATCGTAATACGTAAAACTGACTGAATGAGTGGGACTCTATGTTAAGGTGTCTAACGAGGAATACTACTAAAGGTGTAGGTTGATCTGTAGAGCAGAGTGGTTGTCGAATGAATCATAAGTCATCTACTGAGTCAACTGACCTTGGGAAATGTTGGTGTTCAATCAGTCAGTCAGTTACAACTCAGAACCAGGTACCTTACATCTACCGACATGACTCAGTTCAGAAAATGTTGTCTATACAACCAGGTCCAGGTCTGAAACCAGCCTAGATTTCTGTAACGTGATATTCACTAGCGTCGCAGTATTGCTGAGGCCAATATTCCAGATACCATATTACTGTCACAAGAGTATTTTTGTCCTTTCTTATAAATTGGGGCAATTAAGTATTGAGACCATTCGGATAGGATTACGTCCAGTTCCCGGATTCTACCTAATATCTCTGTCGATCTGACTGTTCAGGCTGGACCACAATCAATCAAAATCTCGGGGGTAAGCCTATCAGGCTCTGCTTCTCTCCCTCTCCGGGTTTCCTAATGCTTTTTCAACTTCGCAAAGACTCAGATGAACAAAAGGTCTCAGCTGGAAACGTACGTAGTGTCGGGATCAAATAACTGAGTAAGCATTGAAAGCAAAAGTGAGTTTCACGGCTTTAAATGATAGCCGTTTAATGCTAGTTTCAAGTATTCTTGTTTCCAATTGTAGTAATAAGGCTAAATCTGTCAACATGTTTGAATTTTTCAATTTAAACAGGCTTTTCTACATGTCAAGTTTCGAAAATGCAAAATGCATCCAGTCGTCACAATGTAATTGTGCAACCAATAGCCTGATAGACCATACAAAACATAGATTATCCAATATACAAATGCGTCTAACTATCAACCCCAAATTAAATTTTATGCGGTTATTTTTCTTCTGTCTTTTCTGTTATTTTACGTTACCTGTGATCATCAATGTAATTATTCGATTCTTTGATATTTCTATGTATGACGGCTCGATTTTAGAATTTTGTTCATCCATCACGCATCCGATGGAATGCTGGTCAGATACACCACCCGTTGTTTCTAAGTCTGTAAGTCGTGCCGTGGTTTATAATTGGACGGTATTTTACGAACGAAAGACCATTTATTAGTTTATAGAGGAGCATTAGGCGCCATAGAGGTTCTACGGAAAGATGCTTGCATCTTTCTGTGTAGTCAAGGTTATGGCTCAATCCAAGCAGTCGCCGAGTGAAGCTTCTTTGTACATTTTCTACTCGCATTTTGTCCATGATTTTCATGTTTGAAAATATGAGAGAACAATATTCAAGTGTGGGCCTTATACAGATTTTGAAGAGAGTAAGCTTAGCCTCACTTGTGAAGAAGTTCTTGTTTACAAACCTAAGTAGTCGTCTGAATTTAGAGATAATATTTGAGGCATGTTCTTCGAACTTTAGGTTTTTAGACTAACTAATACCAAGGTCACGCGCTGATATAAATGTCTGAACCCTACATTTTTCTAAGTAGAGTGATGTATCAAGGTGACTCTTGCTGGAATGCATTATGCCACATTTGTTGTGGTTAAACGGCAGCTGCCATGTCTCGCTCCAGGTACTTAAGTTATCAAGATCACTCTGAATCTTAGCTATATGTTCGTCCGGATCTTCAGGCTTATAGCTGTATACTATTTTCAGATCATCAGCATATAAGTATGCCCTTCCAAATTTTATGGTATTACATATATCATTTATGTACATTAGAAACAAGAGTGGACCTAAGACACTTCCCTGGATAACCCCACTGGTTATTGGTCTTAGTGATGAAAGACAGTCGTTGTACTTTATCATTTGTTGTCGCCCACTTAGGAATGAAGCTAACCATGAGTGTAGTGGGTTTATAATTCCGAATGACTTAAGTTTAAGTAGAAGCCTTTTGTGTGGGACTTTATCAAAAACCTTTGTAAAATCGAAGAAAAGGACTGATACTAGAAGCCCTTTGTCTTGTTTATGCGTGATATCGTTGAAATAATCTAACAGACATGTATCACACGACCTGGACCTTAAGAACCTATGCTGTGAGGTCGAAATCAGATTGTTCCTAAGTAGATGTTGCAGTAAATCTGCCTTAAATATTTTCTCCATAACCCGAGATACTACCGAAGTTATGTTTATAGGTCGGTAATTGTCAACGTTATCTGTAGGCCCAGATTTTTTTAGTGGGGATGATATGTGCAGTCTTCCAGTTATTAGGGTAACAATCTGTGGAGAGAGATATAGTAAATAGTTTGAGAAGAATAACAAACAAATCATTGCTAGCATTTTTCAGCATGCTGGCAGGGATGCCATCCGGTCCTTCAATATAAGAGTGCTACAGTGTACTAATCGCCTTAGAAATGTTCTGTACACTAAATTCAACACTGGCGATTTCACAGGAAGGAGTTTGGGTCAGGTGTGACTCATTTGTTGAGTTTTCGTTTGTTAATGTGGCACAAAAATGTTCGCTCAACAACTGTGCGATACTTTTAGGGTCTTCATACACTTGATTGTCCTTAATAAATATGCTACCTCCTTTCACTTTAGAGTATTTGAGTTTATTCCGAAGGAGTTTTATGAGTTCAGAGGATTGATTGTTCAGCTGAACAGCACGCTTTTCCTGTGTGATTGCCTTTTCAGTACGTGTTATTTCTGCCTTGTCACATATTTCAGTCATCGTTACTAATGAGGAGAAGTCATTACAGTTATGAAATCTGGAAGCATGTCTTCGAAGACGTTTTCGTATATGACCTGGCATAAATATGTCCTTAGGAATTCTGGGTCTCCAGGATTCTAAAGGTGCAAATTTGTTGATAATGCTATTTGTGTTGTGATACAATACATTTATTATTTCATCTGTATTGTTTGCATTAAATTAGTTAGTCTAGTCAATGCTATTGAGGCATTTACCGAAGTTTGACCAATCAATCCTTCGAAGTGTAGTGGATTTATATTTAATAGTTGTAGCTCCTATATCAAGGCTGCATATGACCATATTATGATCGCTACCTGGGAACTTTTTTCCAACATATACAGTGTGAGGAATGAGATTGCTGGTGAAAACCAAATCCAATGTATTTTGATTTCTGGTTGGGCCATTAACATGTTGAGTCCACTCTCCAAGCTCTAAGCATTCAATAAATGATTCGAATCGTTTAGGTGATTTGATTGGGAACCAAGAGATTTCAGGCATGTTCATGTCCCCACAAATAGCCTTGCTTGTGAACGGTAGGGATGAAACAAATGTGAATATTTCTGACAATAATGCATTAGGCTGTCGGTAGACACAGCTGAACAGTAAGAAAACGGCATTTGATGGTTTCAGAACGATCCACACAGAGTCTGGCAATCTATTCATATCACATAAGAGCGAGTTTAGGCTAGAGTGGGCATATATAAGGCATCCTCCACCTCTTCCTTGTAACCTATCACTTCGAAACAGATCATAGTTTTCAAGAGATATGGTAAGATCAGAAATATTACTACAGGTCCATGCCTCAGTTATCATAATAAGTGATGGTTGGCAGATAGTAGCTAACATGACTAGATCTGTCTTTTTATTACAGATTGAACGAGCATTAATAAGACAACTGACCTTGGAAAATTTTGGTGTTCAATCAGTCAGTCAGTTACAACTTAGAACTTCGTACGTACATTAGTTCATGTTGCCATTCCACATTTGCACATAGACGCGACTGTCAGTTCAAATCTCACAGTGAGGAAGATATCAGAAGAATTAGCGGTAATGGGGGGTTCAGAGATATCAAGGAGTATAGCTCTGTGATATAACTTTAGAAAT